AATAGGTCCTTCCATCTCGGGTTATTCTGTGAAATAAAAGATCAGATTTCTGAGCAGAGCATTCCTCATGGCCTCTTCCCACCTGGAAACATGGGCCAGGACGTCGGGAGCCCAGCATCACCCCACGAGAGCCACTAAACCTACGACTGCTGGGCTCCAGGCCCACGCTCGTTCCACGTGTCCACGGTGTTTCCATCCACAGTATTTCCAAATGATGCTTTTCTCCTTCAGGGAGGGTGGAACCCTCAGCCCACAACGACCACTGTGCGGAACACAGCTGCCCTCTTCCACCAGGAGAAGAGAAGGGGGAAGGCTGTCTGGAAACAACACTTGGCTCCAACGGCTGCATCTGGAACCTGCTGTCACATGCATCTCTAGGATATGCAGACAGCCACGCGTGCGGTTGTAACGTGGATGCATTCACCCACACCGAAAGCAAAAAGCAAGAACTGAGACGAAGGAAAACCCCACAGAACCATACAGGTGGATGATGGGGCAGATCTGGAAAGGGAGCAGCAAGGAATGCATGCATTCAACACCATTTAAAAAGGGTTTTTGTGTGTGTCTCTCTATTGAAGTGTGACTTCAAAGACTCTCTCGGTGCACGTACAGGTGAAGGCTCCCCACCAGCAATGCCCTCCTTGACAAATGCGGGCAAATCCTCCCATGCACCTCAAGAGAAACCTTCCCCCAGACCCCCCCCATCACCAGCAAGGCTCCCGGGGCTGTGTTTGTACAACACTGCCGCTTCCAAAGCAAACAGACACCCTCAAACCGCAGCGGCTATTCCATATTGAGATGCATCAATAAAATGTGATTTATAGCATTGTCACTGGAACGTTTTGTCCTTATCGAGCTCGAGATAAGATAGGAGGCATTGAGAAAGGCTCGTTAAAGCGCAGTCTGGCAGTCAGCACATTAACGAACTTGCTTTTCAAAGCTTATTAGCAAAGAGGCAACCGGTATAAAGGAACGGCTTGCAGGAGCGGGCGTGAGCTGGAGAGGGAGAGACTTGGTTACACCATCACTTCTATCTTCGAGAAGCCCACTTGTTTTATGATCCTGAATTATTCCAGAGCTCCCGTGCGGACGAAGAGCTCGCTGGGCTCCTCCCGTCCGTATCTTTTTCTGGTTCAAAGTGTAATGGGAGTATTTCAGAAGCTGTTGGAGTTTTTCCTCCTCTAGGAGCGCCCTGAAGCGGCACTTGTTTGTCAGGGGGAGGTTTGCAGGGCAGAAAGCCCGGTGATATCGATAGGGAAGGCCTTGTGCAAGGAAGCACCAAACCGTGCGGTGCAAGGAGACTGTTTTGCAGCACGCAGCCTCACAACCCTCCGTGCGCTGCAAAGTTTTCAGCCTCTGAGCCCCCCTGGCACCAAGAAAACGCCCAGTTACATCCTTCAGGTTCGGGACATCCCCTTCTAAGTCGCTTTGCTTTCATCCCTGTGCCCTCTGACTTCTGCCCCCCGCCGTTTCCCCCACCTCGATGAGACGTCCTTATCGTCCTCTTCCTATTTTTGAGTGTGTGTTAAGATAAGGCAAACAGATAAGCGATCTCTCCCACAGAGATTTACTTGCATAATCAGAACATTTACTCCAATTAGAGCACAAAAGACCTCAGTCTCTCCATCCCCTTTAACTCCATTGGTAAGGTCAATATTTGCCCCGCGGTCGCTCCCACCGCCCAGGCAGCGGGAGGGACATAACAGACATCAGGAAACAGATCGCTTTTCATCACGCGGTCCGCAAATGGACAAGCATTGCAGAAGTCACCGCGAGAGAAACGACAGCACGGGAGCCGTCGAGCCAAGGGCACGGGGAATCCCCCCGCTGGAAATGTTAAACACCGAGGCCAGGCGTCTTCTAGGAAGGCACGTCTCCACGTATGGATGGTGGCTATTTAGTCCCCAGTGCCCTGAGCGTGAGATGCATTTTACATCCGCCGCTTCCCCTCTCCTTCCCATGATCCCCAGATCCCCAAATCCTCCCGTCCCTCCCGCACGACCTCCCCATCAGCCTCCTGCGTCTCTCTATTTATCTGCTGCCGGCGGAGTTCTTACAGCCAGCTTTCCCCATCCCACCGGTACGTGGTCAACAAAGCCCTCAGCTTCGCGCGGAGGGCACAACGCACAGGAGAACCATTTAAGGGCAAGGCGCTCCTATGGCCAAAGCCATCCCGAATGTCGGGTCTGAAGGAGGGTGCTCCATAAAGGAGAAAGAGGAACGGCCTTCCAAGAGCCATTCTCGCTCTCCACGGGCATCGCAGGACCTCGGACTCGTCGGTCGACCCAGATCAAAACCCCACAGGCTCGAACGTGGCGAACGGCTGCTGACACCTGGCGGTGAGGTCCAGGGGCCAACCCGGCGCCCCGGAGGAGGGGGGCACACGTAGGGGTTCTTATAGGCAACATCTGTATGGAGATGGGGTACAAAGGAAGACCGCAGCTGCAAATCAGGAGTTCAGAACTGTCACACGAAGCGACTTTGGGAGAAGCGAAGCGACGGCTTTAGGAGTCGTCGTCTGTACATAGAACGCCACCGCAGCTGCTTGGGACAGGGGTAAGCATCCAGCAGCCAAAGCGCCTGGGGAAAAGGAGGCGGCACCAGACAAAGCATCTCTTCTGAGGCTTTAAAGTCCATTTGATGTCTGCTTGCAAATGGGAGGAATCATTAGGAACGTATATGAAGCGATTAGCGAACATCCACATCTATTAGGCATAAAGGAAAAATAACCAGACCCAAATAGCTGTCAGAATGGCTCCCTTTGCTCCTTTATGTTATTTGAGCTCATCGTTTGCAGAAACTCAATCTCGGCTCTTTAAATGAGCATATGGTGGGGAAACAAGAGGGAAAGGCAAAACGTTTCTGCCCGGCTTTAGGCGCAGAGCAGGCTTTGTGCGATCGGAGCAGGGAGGTTGCGGAACGTAAACACAGTAATTAAGGCACTCATTCTAATTGCAGGCAGTTAATTGTGCCGCATGCTGCATAACCGAGCCACCCTAGGCAGCGCATCGTTGGAAATCCCTCACGCGTTCTTTAGCCCGACTTTGGGGATCTTCCATACCCACGCTGGCTTTTCATCCTCGCTCAACTCTTTGTATTAGAATCGGGCCCTGAAACTTCGTTTTCTTACAGTAAAACGTATTCACATGAGGTGTACTTATGGTTTCCAACCAAACCTTTGGATCCATCCGAGCAGCTCAGCCCACACGTCTCCCTTCGGCTGCGGGATGAGATAAAGCACTCCCTGCTGAACGCGAAGAGGGAATGCGGATAACTCCAGAAATTACGAGCGCCCATCCCGTACTCGTGGCGCTCGGTGGGGCTGTGCGGGTACCACTAGGTGTCACCCCCCGCCCGCCGACGGTCCCGGTGCCGCCGCAGGGTCACCACGCGAGGCGGTGACCGTCGCTTGCTTTCAAGCGCTGCCTCACGTTGCCCCGAGGGAGGCTCGGTCGGATATTAGGAAGAATTTCCTTTCCGACAGTGCGGCGATGCGTTGACCAGGGAGGCGAGGCCGTTCCCATCCCTGGAGGTGTCCGACGGGCACGGAGGGACGCGGGCAGTATTGGCGGTAGGCGGGCTGTTGGACCGGATGACCTTCGAGGTCATTTCCAGCCTCAAGGATTCGATGACGCCACGATTCTAAGCAAGATGGTTGGGTGGTCCACACGACCAGGCTGGCCTTTCTTCCTGCCTAGAAATACCTCTGCGGGACTCTGCACCTCCCAGGGAAAGCAGAAGCTCCAATGTGGGGCTGCGAACTAGAAAAGCCTCATTATGTGCTGCAGAACAAAGGGAGCATCGAGGAAAAAGCAGCCTCCAGCTCCAGCTGCTCCGTGCCAGGGGAAGCGCCAGCACAGAGCCCTCCCGGATCCTGCAGAGCTGTAAGAGTGAGAGCAGCAGGTCTGGACAGTGCACAAATAGGAAGGAGGAGGCACCAGAGCCGGATTGCAGGTTGTCAGACAAAGCCCGCATCCCATATCGTTAGGGTCGCAGAGAAGCTGATGCTGATGCTGATGCTGATGCTGATGCTGATGCTGATGCATCAGGTTTTCTGCCACTTCAGGTCGGCACTTTGCTCAAGCACATGAATCTAATAGATGGAACTCCCCTCAACTCGTCGTGCTTCGAAACACACCCAGCAACACCTGTCCCCCACATCCGAGCTGGGTTCCATCAGATGAAGCCAGGGGTCCAGAGGTGCTGTTTAGCATCCCCGCATGACAGCAAGCCTGAGAAGCTAATTAGCACCTGTTTGCTGCTTTCAGAGAGGAGATTCTGAGCGTCGTCGGCAAACTCATTTCATGGAGTCGCACTTAATTTGCAGCGATGGATGTTTGTAAGGGCTTTGTTCCGACATCTACAAAGAGCAGCGCCACAGAGGGGCTTTGATGATCCCTCTCGTTTTGACAGCCCACAGAGAGCAGAACACATGCAGGAAAAGAAGGGCGCATCAGAGCCACGCCGTGCCCTGCACCGGGGCGACCGAGAGGCTGAGTGCCGTTAAGTGAGGGATGTGGGGTTTTCCCCTTTAGACACAACTGGAAAGTGGAAGCTCTCACCCTACATGGGGGAGCAGAAATCTGCTTTGCATCTTGAAGTAGTTACACGTGAAGTCCTGCCTGCAACCTGCAACCTGTGCCCTGCATCGTGCATCCTGCAACCCGCACACCACGGCTCTCGGGAGCCCGATGTAGGGTTGGTTGTACTGCTCTGGGCTCCTCCAGCTTTTTGGGATCAGCGTGGCATCGCACGCACAGGGACACGGTTGTCAAGGTGAGCCAAGCCCAATGTTGTTAGCATAGCTGTCAGGGCCCCAGGCCGGCCCTAACGAGGCCCCCAGGTGCCACGGGGCTGGGCCATCCCAGCACAGCTGCATCTTGTTGGCAACTCAGGGCAGGGCCTGCCCTCAATGCCTTTTAAACCCCACCAGAGCCTGCTGGGAGCTACTGGGGGCTGCTGGGAGCTCCTGGGCTCATTCAGAGCCCGCTGCAGCAGGTTGCAGCAGGTTGCAGCAGGCTGCTGGGCTCCCATGCTGCTCGCTCTCTCTTTTTGGGGATGGTGCTGGGCTTCTGCTGGGCTTTTTTGGGTTCTGCTTTCTGTTGGGCTGCTCTGTTGGTGTCAGTGCAGGGGTGCTGCTGCTGGGCTCTGACCTTGTTTCCTTCTTTTTGCAGTGGTATTGCTGTTGCTGCCCCTGCCTGCTTTGGATCCAGCACAGGGCTGCTGCCGGATTCTCTCTGCTCCTTACAGCCTACGCAGGGCTCTTGCAAAGCAGCTCTCACAGTACCTTTGTAGGGGGGAGCCAAGGGCTTTTTGCAGGCACCGCAGCGATGGAAGAGAGCAGAACGGGCAAAGGTAAGCAGAAAGGTGAGCAGGATGGAGCTGTGCCCCTTAGCCTGGTGCTGCTGGGGGTGATAAGCATGGCGAGGGGCTGCTTTTGAAAAAGGAAATGCAGGAGATATCCACTTAATTTTGTTTGTTCTCTCTGTTTTGTCTCCTCTTGCAGGATGAGAGCTCCAGTGAGAATCAGCCCAAATTACTGAGGGGCTGTGGCAACAACGGGACCCCAGAGGTGAGCTCCAGGGGTCTGGGCGAGCGAGTTCCCCCAGACCCCAGGGGCTCCTGGCCTGCAGCAGGAGGATCCTTCTGCTCTTCTCTTGGGATAATGCAAGGCTGCTGCTGGGCTCCCCATCTTCTTTTTCTGGGAGTTAGAGCAGGGCTGCTCCCTAAGACCAAGCACAGCCCTGGGGTGCCCCCAGCCCCCAGCGGGTGTTTGTAGGGGCCTTAGCCCCTCCCGGTCACAGCAGCAGAGTTGAGCTGGATGGGACCACGGTCCCACCCAGCCCTACCGCTGCTGGGGGCGAGGAGCAACACCAGGGACAGCTAAGATGAAAGCAGTGCCTGAGGTGTGTGCTTTATTTCACTTGATCTGCTTTTTTTTTGTGCTGTAGGGTGAGGTGCTTCGCAGGAGGGATCAGCCCAAAGCTGCAAGGGGCACAGTATTGCTGGTGAGACTAAAGCAGAGCAGAGGGGGAGGATCACCTTCCCAGACCCACTGGCCACATTCCTTTTAATGGATTCTAGGATCCTAGTGGCTCTTTCCACCCCTCCAGCAGCTCAGGTCTGATTGTGTACTGACACTTGTTATTTCTTCCCAGGTGGCCACCTCTCCAGCCCATCCAGGTCCTGCAGGAGGGCAGCACGGCCTTCAGGCACATCAGCTGCTTTTCCAGGCTTTGTATTGTTAGCGTACTTGCTGAGGGTGGGCACAGTCCCCTCATCAAGGTCACTAATGAAGATATTGCACAAGCTCAGCATCAGCTGCTAGGGAGCACAGCTAAGCGTCCCCATCCATTCATCTATTGGGATGTCAGGGGAGGAAAAACTTCAGATCTTTTGATACAAGGTAAATGACATCCACTGCTTTTTCCTCTGTCTTTGTAGCTGGCAGAGCACTTCCCCTTGGAAGTGCATGCCGGCTACTGGTGATAACCTGTTTTTTTTTCTTTTTAGGGCCTCGGTGCACAGGTCCCACCCCAGCAGCCCCTCGGGGCTGTTTTTCCTGCAGGGGCAGGATCCCAGCTGGGTGAAGCCATTGGAAGCTCTGCAGAGCAAGGTGAGCGTTTTCCTAGAGTCCCCAGGCTGCGCGTGCCACCCTCTGGGTGCAGTTTATGGCTTCTCACAGCAGAGCAGCCTTGAGTTGTTTTCTTTCCTCCAGGTGCAGCCTGCATCAGGGAGGAAGGCCACCAGCTCTGTCACCCCTGCCAGGGGGTGGGGTGACAGAGCTGGGCATTGCAGAAGGTGCACAGCCTCCATGAGGAATTGAGAGGACCCAACAGCATCTGTGAGATTGTTTTTGGTGAGAGGTGTCGGTGGTGGGTAACCCCAGCTTCCCTGAGTCCCTGTAGAGTGTTTTACACTTGTTGTTTTCCTTCTAGACCATGACAGGAGCAGTGGCTTTTGTGACAGGTGCCAGTCTTCCAGGGCAGTCCCTGCACATCTTCCAGGCTGCGGAGCAGCAAGACTGAGTAGGTACTTTTATTTTTCTTGGGTTCCACTCGGGAGTCAGAGCTGTAGGAGGTTGATATTAGAGTGCAGTGTAGCATCTTGAAGGGGAAGGGCTTGCACCGGGGCGTCTTCCCCAGGGACGGGCTTAGGTCACAGGGTTATTGTGGGAAGCGTTTTTTGTTTGCAATTGTGAGGAGGGGTGCTTGCGAAAGTAGCAGGCAGACAAGTTGTTGTTAGCAGTTGTAATGTGTACGCTTCCTTGTTGCAAGAGGTTTGTTTGCGAAGTGTTTTTTTTTGCTGGTGTCTTGATTGTTTTCAGGGTATTTGTTTTTGAGGGGGCTGGTCGTAGCTTCTTTCAGATAGCTGGGAGTTGGTTTGCTGCTTGTGTCTTTTCAAGCTTGGCAATGTGAGTGGGGTGGTGGTTTCCTCCTCTTTGGGGATGGGGTGCATTTGGTTTTTGTTTTGGTGCTGGAGAGTGGGGGGTGCACTATCTCGAAGAGATTATATTTTTTTTTTTGGTGGGAGGGTGGGTTTTGCTGTCTGTTTCTGGTGGTCCCCGGTGGGGCCCTCCCCCTGGGAGGGTCAGCCCCTCCCAGGGGAGGGGCCCCTCCCGGGGGGGGAGAGGAGGCCCCCCCCCGGGTTGGGGGGTCGGCCCCTCCGGGGGGGGAGAGGAGTCCCCCCCCGGGTTGGGGAAAGGAGGGGGCCCTCACCTGGGGGAAGGGGCTCTGAGGGAATACCTGAAGGAATACCTTGGAGTTGAGGGGCTGCTGAGCTGTGATGGTGCTCTTAGTCTGTGGCTGGAAGGTAGGAGTTAAGACTTGGAGGAGTGGAGTTCTATGCTCTGCCTGAGGAGAGAATTCAATTGGCTTTGAAGTGTAATTAAAACTGTCCTGAAAGGCACCTTGGTCTATGACTTAAGAGGTAGCTGAGCTATTGAAGTTACTGTTATGCTAGCAGGCTATGGGTGCTGACTCTTGCTGACAAACAACTTGCTATCTTTATTTGCTCATACTTTAAACGCTTGCTAATCTCCTGAAGTGCTGCCTCCTCCTTGAAGGGGCTCCCCGTGTGAGTTTGAGGGCTTAAGCTATTGCTGCTTGGAGTGGTGTAGTTCCCCTTCTGCTGCCACCTCAAGCTTACCACAGACAGAAGTAGTAGGCTTTGTCTGCAGGAGAATGTGCTTGTGAATACCTGCTGTTTGCAGCTGCTGGCAGTGGCTTACTGGCCGTTTGAGGCTTTTGGGTTCCTGGGTGAAGCTGCTCTGTTCCAGGTGCTGGAGCTCAAAATAATGCTCTGGAATGGGGAAGTTTGCTTTGCTCTATTGAGTAAAAACAAAATCAGTAAGTCAGTTCTAATGGGGGGGGAAATAAAGGCTTCAAAACCTCCTTATCTTATTGTAAGAGAGAAATGCATCTAATTCTTTATACATCTGTATGTGCCTTTGTAACAGTGAACTTAACTATGCCAAATGAAGCTGAGAATGAGTGAGTGCTTCTTAACAGAAGTTGAAGAGTGAATTGTTAGTGTGGTCTTTACCTCTTGCTGTATCCTGCTCCTTTACTTTGACTGTATCTCTGAAAAACTTCATCTAAATTTCTCATTTCATTGCAAATATATCTGCCTTACCAGCTTGCTGTAACTGTTACTTGCTAACTGCCTCTCCCCTGGAGTGCTGATAACCTTTCTGCTAATCCTGAATACAAGTAGCGAGAGGAGTCTTCTCAAAGCTGTTAAAATTCTAATGCAGAAAGAACTTAGCTTCTCAAGAAAACCATATTGATAAATGCATCTAATAACTAGTGTAACTAATATAACATCTAGTATAACTATTTGTGTCTAACTAAAATATCTAACAACTGTATATAAAGATAATTGTATATATCAAGATAATTGTTTACTGAACAACTAAATGCTTCTCTTTAGCATAGGGTATCTAATGAGATCTGACAGAAAGAGGAAAAAAGTCTGGTGCTTACCCTCTGACACTTGAAATCTGCTCTTCCCCCTCTTAGCTCCCTTGAAGCTGCTTTGTTTCAGGCACCTTTCTTCATCTGAAAGAAGGCAAGTAGATACATTGGAGAACATTTTCAAGTTTATGAACAAGTTTGTATTGATGGTTAAATATTCATGATAAAGGTGAAAGAATAAATATTTGTTACAGTTTACTGCCCCTGCTGCACTATGTCTTCAGTGATGTTATTTGAGTTCTTTTGAAAGAAACATAAGGACAAGTTGAGCCCTGCTGAAACTGGAAGTGGTCCTGGGAGCGTTGAAGAATCCCTTCCACCACAAGCAATTCTGGAACTGGCCTTGTTTAGCAGGGAGGAGAAAAGGTTCTGATGAGGCCTTGTTGAAACTTTCCAGTACCTGCAGGGAGCGTATGGAAAGAAGGGGGGAATGGCTGTTTATGTGGGGTGATAGGAGATGGGGGGAATAGTTCTAAGCTAAGACGGGGGAGAGTGAGGGTAGAAGTTTTCCACACAGGGGGTGGTGATGCACTGGAACAAGTTCCACAAGATTTTTGTGGGTGCCCCAGGCCAGGCTGGCTGTGGCTCTGGGCAACCTGGTCTGGTGGTGGGTGGCCCTGCACATAGCAAGGAGCTGGAACTAGATGAGCATTGTGGCCCTTCTACTGTATAACTCTTTCTTTGGTGGTATTTCAGCATTCCTTTGCTGTTACAACAGTACTCAGCTATGTCAAGGAGAGCAGGGGCTCACAACTGGAGCTCTCAGAAGGTGCATGAGCATGGATGGCTGAAGTAGTTCCCATTCACTTCTCCCTCCCTTAGTTCTGAAGTGGCCCTTGAATGCTATATTTGCAGTGCACCTTCTAACACTGTATAAATAGGAAGTCTAGATCCTGTGCTTGTGGGGTAGAGCCTGAGCACTTACAGCCTGAAGGTCGCTCTGCCTTTTTCTTTGAGCAGCTGCCCTGAGGTCACTGAGCAAAGCCTGAAGGAAAGCCTCTCACATTGCAGCGCCGGCCCTCCCCTCGCCTCCTTCATTCTGCATATTGTTCGGAGTGTGACGTGAGCTCTAATGCTGAGGTGTGAATGAGGGGAGAAGGCTAAGATTGCAGGCTGTGTTTCCCAGCCCTGACCTGCAGCCACCCATTACAACACAACACTCACACCAACAGACATGCAGGCTCTGTAAGCTGCTGGAAACTTGCACTGAGGCCACATGAGTACAGCCTGATGTGGTGCTATTCATTACTTCCATGTTTCTTGCCTAACCTAAACCCTTGTTGTGATGGGATGGTAAAATCACAGAATTGCCAAGGTTGGAGGGACCTCAAGGATCATGAATCTCCAACCCCCTGCCACATGCAGGGCCACCAACCATCCCACCTAATGCTAGACCAGGCTGCCCAGGGCCCCATCCAATTTGGCCTTGAACACTTCCAGGGACAGGGGCATCCACAGCCTCTCTGGGCAGCTGTTCCAGCACCTCACCACTCTCTCTGTAAAGAATTTCCCCCTGACGTCCAACCTAAATCTCCCTTCCCTCAGCTTAAAACCATTTCCCCTTGTCCTGCTGTTATCAACCCTTTCAAAGAGTTGATTCCCCTCCTGCTTTAAGGCTCCCTTTAGGTACTGAAAGGCTGCAATGAGGTCACCCCGCAGCCTTCTTTTCTCCAGGCTGAACAAGCCCAGCTCTTTCAGCCTGTCCTCATAGAGGAAGTGCTCCAGTCCCCTGATCATCTTTGTGGCCCTCCTCTGGACCCTCTCCAACAGCTCCCTGTCTTTCTTGTACTGGGGGCTCCAGACTTGGACACAGTACTCCAGATGGGGCCTCACCAGAGCAGAGTAGAGGGGAACAATCACCTCCCTGTCCCTGCTGGCCACCCCTCTCTTGATGGAGCCCAGGATCCCATTTGCCTTCCGAGCTGCAAGGGCACACTGCTGGCTCATATTAAGTTTTTCATCTATCAAGGCCCCCAGGTCCCTCTCCACATGGCTGCTCTCAAGGACCGCTCCTTCCAGTCTGTAGGGATGCCTGGGATTCCTCCGGCCCAAGTGCAAAACTCTGCACTTTAATGGTAACAATTAACTGATAGCAACAAAAGTATTGTTTTGAACAGAGCTCAGCTGATGCCTGTTGAGAGATATAACAAAAACTTTCCCCCTGTTACTAAAGCAGGGCTGCAATAGCTCTCTTAGTAGGCAGGAATGTCAGCTTCCATTGGGAGAACTGAATTTTTTTACTTAATGTCCAATAAAATAAAAAGAATAGTGCCTCTCTTACACTGTGTTAAAGTTTACTTTATTCCACTTGAATAAAAGGAAAAAAAAGCTGACGATCCAAATGTTGTCAGCAGTGAAATACCCTGTGTGGTTCAGAGCTCGCCCTAATCTATCATGCAATTAACTTCGTTAGGATCTTTGCCATCCTCCTTGGAAACTGATGGAAAAGTAATTAACAGCGGATGCTCACTTGCAGTTGCTAGAAGCTGCCAGAATGATTGACAGCCTGGAAAGAAGGGAGGATATGGGCTGGTACTTCGCACCATCCGTCACTGCCTGTCATTTGCTGGTGTAAAAAATGATGCAAAATGCTCCTTTCTACCCCACGTTTCAAATTCCTCGCGGGGCAGGCAGAAAAACTGGCCGTCAAGCAAATGCCCACGTGAGAGAAAAATTAATAACAGAATCTGCCTGATGCATCAGGACAGCACCGCCTGGCTACGGGCGGAATCCGCAACACCCAAAGCAGCCATCGGGTTGGCTGTTTTTTTTCCTCCCCTTTTAGAATTAGACAGCATTAAATTAACTCCCTTTACCTAGACACCTCGCCTTCATCCAATTTGAAGAGCTAGGATATTGATGGCTGAAGTGCAGGCTGATAGAAGTGCCGACACCTGGGAGCAGAGCTGTTTTCTGCCTGAGCGAAATGAGTTTCAGCAGTGAAAACGAAAAGCAATCTCTCCTGCAGTCGTATCTTTACAAGAGGAAATTCTCCTCCATTAAGACTCCTTGCTCTTTTCTCCACTTCCTGCCTCCAAGACGGAGAACATTAAACCTGGAACCTCACCCTTAGACTCAGACTGTACTTCTACCAGAAGCATAAGACAATCGTTGGCACTGAGTTGACTGCATTTCCAAGGGTGTTTCTTAATAAAATAACCAACTATTTCCATTCGATAAAAGCAACCTTCCTAATTCTGTACACCAGAAAGGAAGTCTAAGCGCAAAACAGCAGTCCTTTCAGATTCAGGACCGCCAAAGTAAATAAAGAGGAGAAAAGGGGTTATGCTCAGAGCCAGGCAAACCCAGAGCTCTTCCCGGCCTCACACTGCAACGTTCTCCATAAAGAATTCTCCATAAAGAATTCTCTCTCCACAAAGACCTTCCAAGGCTCGGGTGAGCCTGTGAAAACTCAGGACAAAAGCTATTTTTCTGATTTATCCTGCTCGGGGATCTAAGAGACAACGACCCGAAGTGTAAAAACAAAACAAAACTTCACGACTATAAAATTCAGAAACCTGCTTAAGTTAACACTTCAGTAAATAACACTGACAAACACCTACAGAGAGATCAGTGCTTGGCTCGTGACACCAACCGCCTAAAGAAAAGAACCCTGCTGGAGATCTGGGCAAAATCAGAGCAAAGATATGTTGTTTCATCTCATTCTGAACTGCAGCGTGTAATGCCAGACTCCATCTAGACAACTCTCTTTATCACTACAGCAACAGAAACCTAGCTAACTACGTGGTCCGAGCAAAAGCCTGACCTCACCTGTTTTCATAGAATCATAGAATGGCCTGGGTTGAAAAGGACCACAACGATCATCTAGTTTCAAGCCCCCTGCTGTGTGCAGGGTTGCCAACCACCAAACCGGGCTTCCCAAAGCCACATCCAGCCTGGCCTCGAGCAACTGCTTTCTCTGGTTCTTCTGTCAAGATGCAGACCTTAAGCTCTCCTCAACTTAGCTCCCAGCAGCTCCCAGCCAGCAGGACCAAAGTCTGCTTTGACAGAGGAATTGTTTACACACAGAGCTAATAAGGACCCATGCCTCTCGGGTGGATGTGTGACCGTGGGCACGCTGCCACGCCACCAAGGCCACAGGGTTCTCTGAAGGAGAATCAAGTCCTGCTAACTTAGAACAAGGACAACAGCAAAGCTACCGAAGGACTGTTTGCATCTAACTGTGTAAACCTGCCTTATCAGACAAGGTCATGCTAAAAATAATTCTGCGCTGATAGGGCTCCCTAGAACTGCAGAATCTTCTGTCTCATCCGTAATTTCCTGTGCCGCCACGGCTGATTTGTGGTTTGTTCTAATGTTAAAGGTCACAGCACGCCACGGAAATAAGACTAAATAGCATTTTTTGCTTTTCCTACCTTCTTTTGCCTTGTCTGCCAGCTGTGATGCACGCTCAGTTGTCATGTAGAAACCAGGGGATGCTGATGGAGAACACAAGTCGTATCCTCTCGGGTGCGAGACGCGATGTACATCTCCTGCGAGGCCAACGGTGTGCTACAGAGAAGGTACAAGAAGCAAACAGGTGGATTATAGGCATCTGTCTCCCCAGATCTCTCTCTAGTGTTACTGTATTAGCCTAGCAGTATGCTATCTGGCACAAATAGAAATGTAAGCACAACTCTTTGTAAGAAATCAAACCAACTGAAGCTACTGTCACATCCCTGCAGGCACCAACTTGCCAACGCTTTCCTGCTGAGCTCAGCCGTTTGGAGCAGGCAGCTCCACAATGTCATAGTCAGCTGGATCTCACCACCCAGCATCTACAAAGCTCAAGGTGAGGACAGAAGTTGTCCTCATGACAACGTCCGTGAGCTTTGATTAATCCCTAAATGAAGGCGGGTAGGGCTTACTTAGGTCATTATGGTTGCACAAAGCAAACTCATGCAGTTTGTACCTATCAGCCATTCAGCAAAATATTTAAGTGTGTCTGTATGCAACATCATTCCTGCTTTGTTCTTTATACATATGACACCAGGCTGCTGAAGTGCCTGTAACTGGTATAATGCTGTAAGACAATGGAAAGCACAGCAATGACAGCAGAGTAGCAAAGTTCCAGGCCACAGCAATCGAGGACTCAATTGAGGCTCAAATGCAACAGCCATAAGCACAGAAACAAAGGAAAAGAAGCTGCTTGCCTTCAGAAGACCTCAGGTATACAGGGATCTCGAGGGAGATGTTCTCACCTTCGCTGCCAGCCCTTAAATGAGGCCTGGCAAGGGGTGGATCCTGGCTCCACCCCTTCCTGCCACTTAGGTACATTGCATGCACCTGAGCTCCCCTGGCCCTGCCTTCCCACCAGGTGCTCAATCACCAGTGCAAGCTGTGACTTAGCATTTCTGCTATGACTGCATATCAGATTGTAATGAAACGCGAGGTTTTAGGCTTATAAGAAGTGATTGTCCTTGCCTTTCATCTATGGTGCACTCACCTTCAGACAGTGTCACATCACTAAGGGAGATGGCTCCTCTCGGATGTGCAAAATGCATCTCAAATTGTTCCCAGTTGTTACAACGTGCCTGCTTACAGTCCTCCCCCCTTCACCTGCTGCCAATTTTGTCTGAATTCAGTCAGGTGGTTGATGGCAAGGAGGAAAGGATGCCGGGCACTTCCTCCTCCTCCCAAAGCCTGCTATATTTTGGGTTCGCCAGCAGTCGGAGTCTATTTAACTGACAAAAGCACTTTTAAGTCTTCTTCCACTGGGATAATTTTCCAGGTCAGTTTCTCCTTAGATGTTACAGTCACCTTGGCTTTGACAAGCAAGCTTTGACTCTTCACAGCACACCTATGGTAGATCTTAAGGCGCTTGGCTTTGCCTTCCTTGTCAGCATACTTAAGGCAGCATCTCATATGTGAGGCCATGCAGCTCGTTCTGTAAGGGGAGTTGCCAAATTTCACGAGGACTTCAGGCTCCGCGTCTCAGCATCCCAATTTCTTTCAGCTCAGCTCTTGTTATTACAGATGATTTTGGCAGCTGCGGCTGAGAACACAAAGAAGCGTTACTACAGAAAGTGAGATCTGCACAAAAAGTCAGAAAGAGAATCACAATAAGAGCATCAAATTCCCAGGGAGGGAAGGGACGGGAGAATGCTTTCTCCAAGGGGACGATTCCAAAAATCCCCAAATCCAAGTTCATAACCTTCTGTGACACAGGTAGCACCGTTTGGACTTTTCTTTCCTTCCAACGCCAGTTTTAGTGGAGGTAACGTGGCTCTGCCTTCGGTGCTCATTTGGGTGCTCCCTTCTTTCTGTGTTTGAAAAGGAAAGGTATGAACGACCTCCAGAGTCATTAGAAAAGCTCAGAGACGTTTATTTTGGCACAATTGAAAAAAAATACACAAATACATAAAATACCATGGTTTGTTAAAGCCAATTTTATATATTATATCCATTATTACGCTGGAGGGAGACTGAAACCAAAACACATTCTATGCTTAAACCGACAGTGCAAATGAACAAAGAGAGGTTTGGAACAGGGGTCCACTGCATCAGAGAGCATTAACAAAAGGTGAAAAGATCCTGAAACAGAAACAAACAGGCAGGAACACGTATTCACTGCACTTAAAGAGCGTGCTGGGGAGAAGCAGCGCAGAAAGGAGAAGAGATGCTGTGGTTGAGGAAGGACTTGACGGCACAGAGGTTAGACGCAACCAAAGTCACAGTGTGCACTTGAGGATAAGACAGCGCTACGACGTGAATGATCCTTCAATAATTTATGTGTAGAAAGAATACATCTTGCAACTAAGCAACACGTGGATGCGCTATCGCTGACAGATCTGCAAGCAGAAACTCCCTGCTTTCAAAAGGTGCCTTTTCTTGGCGTTACGTTATTTGCATAGTTACTCCTTTTCCTCAAGAGGTTAAGAAAATATTCAGCAACTGAGGTCAGGAAAAACCTATAACCTCCCAATGATTTCTTATTGTGGGGAAAAAATAAAATAAAATTCACAGTGGCACAAACATGAAAAGACATGGAAATCACAGTTAAAACTGCCACTTCCCGGACAGGGAACGTAAGAACTGTAAGCGCATTTCAGATTGAAAGCTGAAGTGGCATCGTCTGCTGTCGTTAGTTTTGTCTGCTAGAACAAAAGCTTTTTAGATCCTTTTGACAAAAAGACGGTCTGATGTTTCTCCATACAGCAACTCAAGGGTGGTGTGGGGTTTTTTTTTTGGTTGTTTTTCCCCTCACTCGGGGGCAGGGTGCTTCTTTGAGGGTTTTTCTTTATCCCCAGTCTTTGCTTGTTTGGATGCTACAGGAGACCTCATTTACCTCGTAAGGAGAGAGATGCGAGTACATACAACTGCACTGAAACTTGTATAAAAAGAGGCCATTCAGTAAGATATCCCTGCCCAGCCCAGCTCTGTTCCTATCACTCTGGATAAGCTTTTAACCTAAGAGAAAAGGAATCCGGATAAAAAGGTCTGCACTCTCCATATGGGTATGGCATCAGCTCATGACACTTACGTTCCCATTTTCTGAAGAGAACTGACTGTTCCAGTTCCCGACCATTATGTTCATGGCAGTGCCTGATGATAAAAAGCTTCAAAAGTAATTTATTTTAGGAGTACAGACCCGTAACCGAGCTCCAGCTAAACTAAGACAGGCAATAGCAACACAGGTAGGTGGGAATGCACAGGCTGCTTAGAAATAATTTCACATATGGTGACAGTGACGCTTCCACCAATTTAGCAACCTCAAGTTTTCCAGTCATTTCCCTGTCACCCACTCTCACGCCCGTACCATTGTGCCCATGGTGCCAATTTAAATGTTCACATGGCAACAGTCAGCCGTGCCAGGACCCAATTTGATGAAAGGTAGCCTAGCCTAACCATTTTATAGCTACTTCAATTTCCAGAGTGACTATTTGGCTGGCATTAGATGGGCAAGAGCAGGCATCTGAGGGGCTATTTAGGCTGGCTTTCAAAAAAGACTCTGCCCTAAGGTGCTGGCCTGCACAAGTCAGGCACATTAAGGAAAGGCTTGAGAAAAGAAACCCTTTATTGCATCGATAGAAATTCACTTGATCTCTCAAGTTCATTTTGACACTCATTGGCACGTCTAACAGTGCACAGATCCCCTGCAGGAATTTTGGTTTCTTTTCACCTGCTGTGTACAAGGAAGATACTAGAGACTGTCTTTGCGGGACAGACGTAGCAGCATACCAACTACAAAGCCAAAGCAAATGGTTCTTCATTCAAGGACTGAGCTGAAGCTAGCTGAAAAGCTGCCAAAGCTTATGAATCTGTTAGGATCCAACCCCTACCGGCCAGCTTTCAAAAGTATTAACAGCATTTGAATGGTGGGTCTGTCATGAGAGTTAAAAGCCAGGGTCAGCTACTTCAGAATTAGTAGGGGATGTTTCAGGAGGAGTTTTTGTGTTTGTTTGTTTTTTTAATATTACAATTTAAGTATTGTTACATTGTCCTATAACATTAAAGCAGTGGCACTTAGTGTTTGCTGTTACAAATGGGTCCTTCAAACAACCCCACGTCCTTGGTTTCCCCCAGTATTTTGTGTTGGCCTGCAGCACTGAGACGTTCCACTCTGGTGACACACAACATATCGCGACACAGGAAGAACTTGCCAAAACTGAAAGCGTACCAAAGAAAGACAGATTCTTTCAAGATGAAACGCGGCCTCTGTGGGAGACAAAGGAAACCACAGAGCTGGAATAGTGCATTTCAAGATCACCAAAGCAGTTCACAGAACTGGATGTAGCCTGCCATTCAGCATCTTTACACGAGTTCATTTCTCCGTTAACATTTGGCACAAACTCTTTGACACAGTAATTTGGCTTCCGTTTAGGTCAGCCGCTCGTTGCCTGGCACTTCAGTGGATTCAGAAAAAGTTTCTTCAACACTGCGTACAGTTACAGAGTCCTCAGTCGGGAATGAAGGCTAAACATTGCTGACCCTGGTTTCAGAAGATGATATCATAGCAGCAGATGCAGATGTCACTAGCGACCGTTCTCGTCTGACGTATCGCGGCTTCCGAACTGAAACGGTGGGCACAGAAACATCATTAGCACCTGCTGCAGAAGTGTGCCTTTGTCATTCATTCATAGCAACACACGCCATCCAACAATCCCCGAGCGGCCAAAGTCATTCTGCCCTTCAAATAAATAAGAAAACCCCACACTCCTACGCAGAGCTGAGGAAAAAAAGTCCACAAATACAGTATGCGTATTCTATTGCCCTATTTAATATGCTTTGTGAAAGTCATATTTAGACACTCCAAGCTTTATTAGGTTCTCATTGGCTCGCTAATCACATAAGAACAGTATGTGCTATTTCCCAGAAGTAGCACAAACTTGGATGTCCACCAAAAAGCAAGTTTTGGTCTTGGACTACAAATATTTGGTCTAAACCAGTGCATTAAGTGCAAATTTCACAGCGTTTATACGTTGAAATTTGGAAGAACTGTGGAGAAAATTGAGAAATGTATTTCTGATCGATTTTCACGCTAATTAAAATCCCACCTTGTCAAAACAGCCAACGTACAAACAGCCCACTCACCACACACACACAGAATGCTATATTCCAAGCATTCCATGTTTCAGGAAACTGATGTGCTTCAGATCAGTGAGCCTGAAAATCAGCCAGCCTGCCACTGGAAAGAAGATTCCAGCCCTGAAACTGGGCTCCAGACTGCACTGTTCTTCAAAACCCATTTCTTCCATCTACTTTCCTCTCTATTAGAATAAAAATAGATCTTTGATTTCTCTACAGTACAGTGCTACATCAATACTGTATGGCTACGTTAATTAAAGCAATAAATCCCACCCGAAAGGTCTTCTGGACATACTTTATCAGATTTCTGTGCTCTTGAGAGATTCCACAGTTCTATACTAGGCCTAAAAGTAATTGTTTTCACTTGCTGAGTATTCTTAGCATAACCACTTTGAGACAGGCAGCCTGCTTTCCAGCAATGAAATGTGCAAGAGGGAATCTAACAGGCAAAATTTTGTTGGTATGTAGCAGTATGCCCCGTAGAACAATTTCTCACCTGAAGTAGCTGGGGGAGGTATCATGGATGCCTGTGTAACAGGAGAACAATTGTGTCAAAGAAAGCACCTTGTTTGTTTTAATAAGACTGAAGAAACACAGGAACCTTTCAGGGTTCCAATAATTTTTACTGCAAGCACTGTCATAGAGAAAGCAACTCATAATCCATACGGTCAGTATTCATCTGTTACCTTTTTTCTAGCTCAGACAAAGAGCCCAAAGCATTTCGTCTGGTTTCTCATAACAGACCAAGTAGCTCACAAATGAATTGTTACTGTTTACTTGATGTTTTAGGCTTGCTTATTCTTAGTGGAAAAACAAATCTTACTTACTGTTTCACTAGGCTGGAGAACAGATGCTAAAAGAGAGAAAGAGAAAGAGAGAGAGAGAGAGAAACCATCATTAATCTAGACCTGCTAGTTGTTTTATGTTAAATACATGTGTGCAACAGAATAGTTCCACTGATAAAAATTTCTGTTGCTAAGACCCCCAGAACTGATTAGAACATTAGTAGAACACCTATTAGTAGGACACATTGTAGTACTCTTTTCAAGATTAGAGATAAAGGGTTGCAAAGGTTTCCAAGAACGGCTCATTTTCCTTTCTAAGCAGGTAGCCACAGCAGTATCTCTTCATATTATAGAAGCTCCAATAGAATAACAGCACCTTCAGCCAGCTACCAGAAGAGACTGGCACAGTGACACGCCGTTAACTCGCAGTGGCTAGGTGTGACATTCTCAACCAAATAACTGAACTGATTGCTCCAGTCACCCCTCTCTTTTTTCCTCTTTTGAAAAATAAGAGGAAGCCTACTTGCTTAGTTGACCTAAACCAGAAACCAGCTTTCTGTTCAACAGAAGGAGCTCTAACATAGCAAATGCAGAGCTGGAGTTTGTCATAAGAAAGATTCAAAGAGTTTGTGCAAAACAGGCAAGATGGAGACGCCCCTTTTGAGTCCCAGCAGATCCTGCGTTCAGAGGGCAAACAGGTGACTGAGAAGCACAATAACAAGAAACCTCTAACACTGTTCCCTTTCTCCTGCTGCTGACACATCCTCGGTAAACAGGATATCTTCAGTGCTACAGTTCAAGAACAAACAACTGCTTTTTGGAAGGCTTTAAGCACCTGACATTTTGTATACTAAAATATACACGCTGTGTTAAAATGCTCCGTGTGCAAAAAGTCCCCATCGGATGCCTAACATTCAGTGATAGCTAATGTCTAGTACAACACTGAGTCTGTGCAAGCTACAGAAAGCAACAGCTAGGTTAGTGAGAGACACTGTGTAATGTGCACCTAAGCACGCTCAGACTTAAGAACTGTGAGCACACATCCTCTGCTCTGCAGTGGAAAAAATGATGCTGTAAGCACATAGCAGGGAAAAGTCGTTATTTTGCATTGTCTTGGAGGAACAAATCTTTTGAGATGTTTCTTGAGACAATTACTTAGAAGTATTTTACCTTTGTTCCTTCTGTAGAAAACATTAGGAAGTTTATTGGCACGTTTGAGGTAGAAGAAAGAAGCGACAGACAGAATCAGGAATAAGCTGATGAAAAATGTCCCTAAGATGAGAGAAGCTGCCACTTCCGGACCCCCTGTAAAACACAAAGACAACACCAAAACAACCACTCAGAGGAAAGCCCAATATTCACTACAAATCTCTTCTAACAGAAGGGTTAAACAGAAGATAGGACAAGATGAAAGAACCATTCAGTAAGATACAGTTACCTCAAATTTAGCTCTGAGGCTTACAAAAGATTCTTGATGAAAACTAGGCAGAACAAGTAAAAGGAGCTGCCACCTTTGGAATTAAATCTGTCTTACAGAAAAAAAAAAGTACTACTTATTCCAAATACCACGTTTTGAAGGGCTTTGTACACAGCAAGGAGTCATAAGGCCTACATCACATCATTATTCCTATCTACTCACCTATGTTCTGTATGAAAGGAGTTACAGTGCTTATATTCATTTGGAAATTCATCCCTCTGATACCAGCTGTAATAAAAAAAAAAAGCTTTTCAAATGAAATCTGACGATGCATTTGTTGAAAAACTTCGGGGTACTTATCAGTACTTACTTGAAATTATACAGGAATAGTAGTTTCTCCAATAAGTAAATAAATTTTAAACAGCATTCTTACCACCACCTTTAGGAATTCCCAGAAAGGAAACAAAAAACCATTCGCTAGTGCATTTCTCAGAACCTTAGATCAAGTTTCTTATCTCCTTCACTACAATATTTGCAAGGAATCAAATGAATCTCACCTCTCAAAAGCCACATGCACAAAATGAATCTGTCCTTTACAGTACAGATTTTCAGGAGCTCAAGCAGTGTCTGAGCTGTTTTGTCTCCTGGAAAAGCCCCTAGCAAATGTCTTTTTTGACAGGAGAGATTAAAGCAAGCACAGAACTCAGTATCAAACAAGCATAGTCGATACAGGTTCTAGCCTGTAAGATTAATCATTTTCGTGTTTCAAACTTAATTTTAAGATCTTACATCGGGCCAAATTATTGTTTTATTCCTCTAAGCGTTGCGTTTTGTTTGACAAATTAGCTACCCCAATACCACATTTTGCATTCTTTTCCCTTCTAGATTCTGGAATGGTTCCACAGCACTGCATAGTTTCTGTCAACTGAATTCCAAGGCTTCTGCAGCTTTTACTGCATGTTCAAAACCTCTGAGGTATGTTAGAGCTTTGGAAAAGGATGAAGTTTTACAAATGGTGAAAGAGACTTTGCAACACCTGATGTCTTCTTGAAAGGTCTTTGTTGGACCACATAGGCAAGGAGAAATCTTGTTACTTAGAATAGCAGTATGATAAATGACTCACTGTTTCTGCAGTCAGTCAGATTGTAAACAGTAGCAACAGGAAGAGTTTCATTTTTGCACTTAATGCAGCTGCTACTCCCATCCTCGTTCCATCGTCTGTAACAACCTGCATAAGAATAAGATGTAGTGATGTGAAAACAACACAAACAGCACCAGAGATATTTCCTGATCTCCAGAAAGAGGTAGAGGTAACAAATCCCACACGCTATGCTAGCACAGGTTTCATTTCAGAGCACTTATTCCAGAAAAGACATAACCTCTTAAGGAGCAAAAAGGAGAAAGTTACATTCAAGAAAAACTCCAAGAAGGGAATTTTAACGTAGCTCAATTCACTGCTTCATTAGCTTTAAGATAAAAGGGATCCATCTAACAATCTGCAAGTACCTTCTACAATACTAAAAATGCAGCATCGTTTAACCATTTATTTTTAGAGGTCGTGCACTACTAAAACAGAACTTAATGCCATTGTTGCAAAGAGTACAGAAAACAGGAACTGGCGGGGGCAAAAATGCTAAGGACCTGACTGTGCTTAGATGAAAGAAGACGTTGGAGTTTCCATAGTCAATCAACTGAAGAGTGACAAGCTCAGGGTACGAGTGCTGCTGCAATTTAGCCCTTTTCCATGCCTCAGTGTTCCCAGGTATTGTACTAATTGTTTCACTTTTAGAAGAACCCAAGCGTGTTTCAACTCTTCCGCAACAGATGGTGAGTGTTTTATATCAGTCACCCCACCATGCGGGCTGGAAACAGATTAAACTTTCATCTTCTATGACTTCAGTGTTCCAGCCTCTCAATTTATGTTTAAATGCACGTCCTGCTATCTCTTTCATAAGAAAAAAAAAAATTTAGGGCACATCTTCAATAACAACTTCATTTAATAAAATAAAGCTGAGGCGGTTTCACTTGAGGCTTAGACTCAAGACATGAAGATTAGAAAGATATTCCTCCTAGATCATATTACAGTCTACATTTTAAAGCAAAAAACTTACTAGGCTGGCTAAAATCCAGCTCTCAAGAGCCTTGAGCCAAACTGGTATCAATTATCCCATAAAGCAAACCATTAGTACGGTGCTGATTTGAAAACAGCTTTGCTACTACGGTTTCCTTAGAGGGAAACGGCACATTTGATGCCCACAGCAATAAATTACATCTGACGTTTAATCTAAATACAAACGGACCCAACGTAAGGGCAAAGCCTTCCTATAGTAATAGGAAGGAAGCATCAAAGTCTTTATCTGACACCAAAGATTTTGGTAGGTTATCAATTTACAGTAAGACTTCAGAGATTGCAGTCCCATAGCTTGGAGACTATGCTCATACCATGTCTAAAATCATTTAGGAGCAGAAATGAACGTAGCAATGAAGCAACAGTTTAAGAACCTAACGAGGCAGTGAAATTAGACAGGCTTATAGAGCTTTAACAACCATCAGAACAGCCCAGAAAGGCATCCCAGTTTTTAAATCACCAATTCTCTCATTACTGTGGGCTCTGAAGCCATTTTCTGTCTTTTACTCTGATTTTAAACACAGAGTACGCAGTATTAATAAAAAAAACAAAACTCAATTTAGGAAAAAACATTAACTTAAATGGGAGGAGGAAGAATGAGGCATTTTGTGCTAACAAGACAACACTGAAACTGTTCTTAAATGCTACAACACGCCGCAGCATTTTTGCTTTTTATGCCCCTTTTATGGACCTCTAAGTATCAAAAATAGCTCTTACATAATCCAATTGCATGCTAAATAAAAAAGAAAGCATAAAACCTTATAGTCATCCATTCTACTTACCATGCAAGGACAACATTTAGTGCTTCCTATGATTCATATCCTGTACATATAAGGAGAAAGTTCACCTAGTTGTTTATTCTCTTTCCATTCCCCACTAAATCAGATGCTGTATGTTAACTGTCAAAAATAATCTGGAATTTAATTAAAGAAAACCACACTATACCTGGGCTGCACTGGTTGGCTACTGGACAGGAACTGTTTGACTCCAACATATCCACACAACATTCTGTTTCTGAAACCTAAGGAAAAAAAAAATTACAACGTATTTCCCCACAGTTTTCAAGTTTACAAAAATACTGCAGTAAACATCCACAGAGAACACGGGAGCAAACAGCGACTTGTTTCCTTTTGCATTAAGAAGCCATTTTTCTCAGGACCTAGCAGCTGTTACACAAGTCTCAAACCAGCCAGGACACAGGGCTGGTGGGAAGCAGCAGAACAAGAGAAATATTCAGTGACTGCTTCCATCGTAGCTGATCACAGGAGACTGTTACAACTTCTGGTAACACAAGTGTTGAAGATCCACTTCTATATAGTTCCCAGATCACAATAACCCACTGAGTTGCCCTTCTGCCGAAAATAGTGGGAACGACAAGGCCAAAAGCTGAGACAACAGGAAACATTTTGAGTGACAGTTCTTAAGTCCTCTCATCCCTCTTTGTTGACCTACACAAAGTCCGAGCAGCCATGCTGTGCCTCCTCTCCCTTGATCTTGAGGAGTTTTATACCGGAACCTTTCACCAAAGTTCTTTAGGATATTGCCAACATTTATAACTACAATAGACCCACGTAAGAGAAATGCACCGTGTTAACATTAGGCTGTCAATACTGTTAGTAAAGTAGCAAAGGCGTTCTCGCACACATGGGAAATCCCAAAAAGAACTCAAAATAGAGACACACTGTTAGCAAAACGACTGGCAAAAAACAGTTTTCACTGAACGCCCATATCGCAGCTGAAGATAACATCTACATATGGCAAAGCAATCAGCAGAGATGCAAAAGCTTCTTCCTTCAACATTTAACATAAGAGTAACTTCACATATCCCGAAGGCAAGAAAAGCTTATTTTTTCCTGTTGCTTTATATAAAAGCCAATTTCAAAATGATTTACAAATTACAACAAGCTGTGACATAAGCTTAGAGATAGATGGTTGTTATCAGCTCTGCAGTTCTTTTGGCAGAATGTTACTGACACTCTGTATAGACTTGGGCACATCCACTCTCCGTGTTTGTGCAAGGAAAGTAAGTCCAATGCCTCTTCAAGTTGTGTAGATACATTCCCCTAAAGCACATAGCAAGTCTAATCAGTCTTAAGAAGAGATTAAGTATTCTTGGTCAAAAGTAACTGGATCTGATCTGTATTCACACATACAAATAACTTGGATATACCTAACATAGAACAGTCAGTATTATTCTGCTAATTGGCAAAAATCCATCAAATCCAGGGGTGGCGAAGACCAAAGCTGTCAGGAGAAATGGTTGGGACATGAAAGTGTAATTAGAAGGCTGACTTAAAACTGTCAGCACATCACAAGGGAGGTGAAGGGCCAGAAAACCTACAAATAACCTCCTGGAGACCAGTTTCTTAGAAGGTTCTGCTGGTAAAATTCTCCCAAAAGCAGAATTTTGTATCTGACCTTTTTCCGTGAAACAGAACTGGCTTCACAGCTCCGTAGTCATTAGAAAAGTTAACTTTTTGGTATCCACAGTTTGGAGTTTCTGTAGTGGAACTACCTACCAAGCAGCTTGAAAAGTGTTGTCTCGATCATGGAGGTGTTTTTTCCTCACAGTGCAAAGCTTTGCCAGTTGCATTCCTGTTAGCCTACAGGCACATGACTAGCATGAATTTAACAGGCACTCATAGCAAATTCACCCACTGTAAATGCTTCAGTTAATGACCGCCAGCATCATTCATTTCTGTTTAATTACAAAGCCTTCAATAAACCACAACAGGAAGGGTAAATACACTGTTTCTTCTAGATTTTACAGTACCCAGCATGACAAAAATGCAAAGTACCTACCGAACTTTCAGTAGATTTGCTGGCAACTTCTGCTATAAGTCTGGTTAAGAGAAGGATGTACGGCACCTCCATGCCCACGATAGACAAAAGTCTAAATAAGAACAAGGAAATTGATTGTTAATGACAGAAGTTAGACTTTCCCTTTGATAAGGAACTTTCGCCAACACACTCCTTTTATTCAAATACAAAAGGCCTTTAAATTAAATATGCCAAGGGGAATGACTTACCTTGGTTCAAGACAGAGATTTGAGACATTCAGAATTTTCCCTCCAGCTGCAGAAGGGCAGGTTCCTTGCTATGGCAGACTGCGGTTGCTAAGAAACAAGGAGCCTTATCAGTCTGCTCCAAACTGGGCCATGCAGAGTCTGTTCCACACCCAGCATCTGAAAATCAATGTGATTGCAATAGAACAGTTACTGCCTGGCACCACCGCTGATAAGCCTCCCCGCAGTCACAGGCTCTTCTGCCTGCAGCACTGAGCTGTGATGGATCTGTATCAGGGCAGAGAGCACATGCCACTTGGAAAAGGCAATGCTGCAATTAATTTTTCCCATGACAGCACAATCACGAAGCGTTACTGAAGTCTATCTGCTAATAAGTCGTATTTCTCAACTGCCTAAAATCAGGCCTCCTCAATGAGCAGACCGTGCCATCAGCTATGAGCCTTCCTTTCCCCCCTCCTCCATCCTCCTCCTCCTCCAACTCCACGCAACCTAAGCAAAGTCCACACTTCCTAGGTTGGATTGTTAGGCTGAACTGCTAAGCCCTACGTCACGCTCCATCCGCATTGTCCAGACACTTCCTCTGTTGGTGCTACAGTATCTGCCTGGTTTTTGCTCAAGTGTGGGAGGCCACACCCAAACCTCACAGCCAGCCTACCTGCAGCCTGGTGGCTTCAGAAAGAGTCTTTCCTATTATAAATAAAACATGGAAGCAGACGTGCTCCTCTAGCTAGAGCATAACATGAGGAAAGAAAGCCTTTGGCTGTAGGGAAAAGCTCTCTAGTGAGTCATTTCCCAAACTATTTTTGCTAAATAAAACTCCAGTGGATGAATTTCAAATTACTCTAAAATACATATCACAACCCTTGGCAAGCTGCTGCTCTGAAAAACAAAATCACCGAATGGTTCCTACGATTAACTTCCACTCTGCTTCCTGAAAAAAGCGTGTGCACAGAACCTGCTGCCTCAAATTCAAAGCAAAAATAGTTCAGCTTAGTGGGAAAACTTATTGCTACCCCCTGTTATCAGCTAAAAGCTCCAAGAACAAAGGCTGACAATCCTGAAAACCACACTCCAGTGTTATTGCTACAAATAATTTGTATGGCTAATGAGGATTTGGACAGAGCAGGAAGAGCTCGCGCTGCCACGGATCCTTTGCCATTTAAGCATAACAGGGATGGAGATATGATTCCCAAATCAGTGCCCTGAAGCACAGGTGTTACCTTTTTAAGCAGTTCCTGTGGTGACAAGACACCTCACACCAACACCTGCCTTAACAAAAAAGGTGAATTCATCTCAGAAGATGAAAAAGAAGCTTTCTACAGCGCAGCACGTAGCTCTAGAAGCCAAGAACACCTTGCTCACAGCTTTGTAGGGAACATTCTCTTCCTCAGCACATTTCAACTGAACAGAAGCTACTTGTGACCCAGCAAAGGGCTGCTGAGGCAGGCACTGCATTTTCCTAGTTTGACAGAGAGCTTTCCACTTGTGCGTGACAGTATAAGAGTACTTATACAAATGCTATGAATAATTCTGCTTCAGATTACGTGGGTACATCTTCAATTTGTGCATTTAACCTTTTAAAAACATCGGTATTGTATTTACTCTCCTACTGCACTAGCAGTACAACTTCAGGGTTTGTCACAGCAGTCCAGCAGAGTCTAACATTAAGTCAGTCTTGAAGATGTGCATGTGGATGGACGTATTTTAAACAAGCACGCTCAGAAAGCTTGCCTTACTGCCTCTCTTCAAAAATTAGATATTGCTGCTTCTCCTCTGGGGAGAATCATTGGTCAGTAAAGACATTCGTAGATTAATTTTTCACTGCTTTGGAAACTGCACAGATTTTTTGTCAATACCTGATCATTGTTGTTAGATCTGTAAGCATGAGAGAAAGAGAGATGAACAAGGCATTTGTTTAAACAACTATATTCTTGTTATCTAGAAAAACACTTAACTTCAGGAACACGTTGTGCTAAACAAGAAAACATTTGGGAAACTGGCCACTGCTAAGAGCCTGATCCTCCTCTGTACAAAAGCTCAACACGGGCTGCATTTCCACTCCTGCAATAAATTAAGATAATAATCAACAACACTGTTGCATTTATGGGCAGTCACTCCCAGCCACTACCGAATGTAACAAACTGGAACATATGTCCTGCAGCTGTTCCAGTAGAACTAGGTCACTGGATCTATTTGCTCTCAAATCATCAGCAAGTTAATTTATTTCATTATATTTCTATGAGAGAGACACACACTATTTGAACCTTATATACACATCATTGAACCAGTTTTGGAGGCGTGAAAACAAGACGAGCAAATTGCTTTCAAACTCCCCAACACATCAGACCTCTATTGACTCAATTTACGTTTCGCTCTGAGTTTCCAGAACCACTTGTTCACATCCTGCTGGGCTCTTTTTCTGCCAGCAAAATACTAAAGAACATCTGTCTGAATGTGGAGGGGCGGAAATCAAACCATTAAGGCAATACTAGGTATCTACTTGTTCGTTTAGGTTTGCACCAATCAACAGCACTAAGCATCCTTATTCTTTATTTGTAATAATATGAAAAAAAACATACAGCTTTTTTGAAGAACAAATTAAGTGCAGTACTTCCAATCGAGACAGGGACGTTAGGCAGGGATCTGGACTGTTCACTGGTCTTCACTTGCAAAACTGCAGAATTAATAACTCATTTTATTGCTTTCCAGCCACCAGTCAATCACAACTGCTCCATTAGCGACCTGAACAGCATTTTATGCCACAACTTTAATTGTAGAAAGGGAAAAACCCTACAGATTTTAAGATTTCTAGCACACACTATGACTAACCGTGCCTCAGGATGAGGTAGTTGCGTATTTAAATTAAATGAGAGCTTGATCAGGATGTGACACCCACAGCAAAACAATTTACAAGCTCAAGGAATACGTTTTACGTTTGGCAGCGTTTTCTCTTTGGAGTAAGGAAAAAAAAAAGATAATGTCACGCACAAGCTGGAGCCCAAATTAGAATGTATTTATGCTTGAGACGCCAACACAGTTAAGAGAACACAGACATTTTAATTAAAACTAGTATTTCACACCAGAACTCCACGTTTGAAAGAAATCTCAAGTCGCTGTCAGCTCAGATCTCAAGTGACACAACACGCATAAGCTGAACACGTCAACATTCACTGAGTAAACTCTTCCTCTCACTGCCTTTATAAAAAAAAAGAAAGGGAAGCAACTCATGATAAATACTACGCATTTGAATGCTTTCCTCCCACTCCTGGAATCGAGTGCCCTTTAATTGAACTTTAAGTCTACATTCTGAATGCATACAGCTGTGCATCTCTCACCTCTGTTGCCCCGTCTGTTGCTGGAGCACTGCATCAGGATATTCTTGCAGCTATATGAACAAACCTGCAGTAACACATTACTAAATTTCAGGTGGTTTTACAAGTAGATGGGAGTGGAAAACATCATCACCCCCATTCCACTGCTTGTTACGCTCTGCCAGGACCTCGGTTTGGCCGCAAACAAAGCAGAATCAGAGAAATTAAAAGGCAGACTCACTGAGCACAGCCTGCAGAGTCCTGGGCTCCTCTCAGCAGCACTGCAGCTCCCCAGGGCCACGCTGGAGGCGGACGGTATGCAGCTGACTGCTAATTTCCCATTGACACCGTCTCACAAAGGACCTGAGCAGTGGAACAGCTGCGAGTTAGGGTTAGAAAATACCTTGTGGAAACGAGAGCTGAAGCGGGACTTGTTTTTCCAGCTCTCTTAGCATACACCTGTAAAGAGACACACCGCCCCTGCCCTCATAAATGACTTTACAGCAATTAACACCGCTCGATACACGAGGCAGCGAAGCTCTCTGCTCCAGCCTCGGCTCCCTTACACCTCCACGAGCGCCCGGAGCAACACAACACCGTTGTTTACGGCCAGCAGACAGGATCGCAGCCTGTTATTTACAGCGGGCTTCACGGTCTCACAGCGCGAAGAAACGAAGACCAGAGCAGTTCGGCCCCGCAGCCCACGGCACGCAGCGCACACAGGCAGGGCCGGGCCTGGGCCGCGCCCCGGGGCCTCTCCCCCCACACCTGCCCGAACAACGCGGCTCCTCCCGCGGGCTCCCCTCGCCCTCAGCCGCCGCTCCGCGCCCTCCCGCCGCCGGAGGACCCCCTTCACCCCCCCGCAGCCCTCTCCCCACCTGAGGAAGCGCCCTCCGGCAGCACCGCCGGCAGGTTCCCGTTCGTACCCCCCGCCCTCAGGCGGCGCCCTGCCCGCTGCTTCCCGCGGCGCCCTGGGACTTGTAGTTCTCCCTTCGCTCGCCGGCCCTACGGGTGCGGCGAACGCGCCGCAGCTCCGAACTACAGGTCCCAGCATGCACCGCGCCGCGCCCTACCTGAGCCCTCCTCCCCTCAGGTAAATCCCCTCCCTCAGCCCGCTCCCGCAGCGCCTTCGCCGGCGCCGCTCTGCTGCGAGCGATGATTCATGGGAAAGGGAGTCCCGCGCCTCCCGTCACGCCGAGGAAAGGGCGGGTTCCGGCACTACAACTCCCAGTGTGCACCGCGCGGGAGCCGCCATTTTGGGCGTTGCTGGGCGACGCGGACGCCCCAGGAGGAATGGCGGGAGGTGGGGACTGAGGCGTTGGGGGGAGGGGGGGGGTGTTGTTCACTGAGGGAGAAGTGCTGAAGGGATGAAGGGCAGGGGCACGTCCACCTGAGCCTTCTGCTAGACAGGAGTTATTGTGACAAAACGATTGAATGAAGTTTATCTAGTCCCTACTTCTCATTGCAGTCCTCCCAAATGACGTTTCTGCTCACGAGCACGTCTTTCTCCAGCACAAATGAGGAAATAAATGTGGCTCAGGCAGATCTCTGTAGTGGCTTTTCCGATCTGAGAGCAGGGAGAAAATGGGAGATTATGGAAACTTTCATTGTGTGAGAAAATGTGACCTACCATGACAGTTAATGACATCCAGACACACGTAAATTCATAAATTCCTCTCAGACGCTGCCACCTGTACACCTCAGTACTGCTTTTAATTCAATACAGTAGGAATTAATTCAATGCAGTGAGAATTATTTTAATCCAGCGTCGCTAATGATTGCGTGGCTTTCAGCTCTTGGTTGAGGCAGCCACCAAAATTTCTCCTGTTGGGCAAAGAAACAAGCTGGCCCAACTGCTTGAGGAAGGATGCTTGGGTAGCTTTGGTAATGGGGACGAGGTTACTGTAGAAATCTGCAGTCCTGGGAGCACAGTCTATTTCTTATTTGACCAGTGACACTTCTCAGTGAATACCCTATCCTTAAGGAGAAGCTTGGAAAATGGAATCATATGGAGCAGAACACAATCCGTGCCCATACTGACAAGTTTCCCCAGATCTGCACTATTCTACTTCTAGTAAATTAAAGCACTGCTTCCTATATGTACTCGATTCTATTCAAACTTGCTCAAATTAGTTGTGATCTTTAATCTCCTTCTCTGGAATGGCACTTTTCAGCTGCTTGCCTCTGAATGATGCTGTCTCACATATCAGGGTTTCTCTTTACTAAGCAAGAAGTGCTCATTTCACAGTGATGGATTTGAAGGTCTGGTTCTGATCAAAGCAGTAACAGCAAGGCTTAAGCGTTTTCTCTTTCACGTCAGCTTTAAAGCGTAGAAGTCTACTGCTAGATTTGCATTAATATTAAGGACAAGCCTAAAAGCTTTCTGCCTTTAAGAAGAATATACATGTTCTTTGTAAAAAATTTAACAGGATTCAAACAATTCATACCAGATGGTAAACAATACCCCATTCCACAAATACATGTGCTCATCTGTACTTTTCCTGGAAGATTACCTGGGTGAGACACAGCAAAGCACTCAAGCAGAAGGTTATAGCTCCGGAGCGGATCTGACCTACATAACAGAAGTAGAAACATCAGTTGTCTTGTCGGGAGAATCACAGCCAGCAATTGACACTATTTTATGGTCTGCTAATTCAGTGGCAATATTTCTGTTAAGTGGGGAAACAGCTTGATGTATCACTGACATACATGGCAGTCCTTTGGGAGAGCTGTGTTACCAATGGTATTGGATGGATCGGGCAGGTTTTACAGTTAGCACACCCAGCTGTTCTTTAATCAGGAAATACAAAAAGGACTCCCTTCTCATCGTCTGAGTTGGGGGAGGAAAGACCTTTTGAGAAACACCTTTCAGCCAAGCCAAGAGATATCTCAAGTGTTGGCCCTTTGAACTAAAATACATGGGGGTATTTGCTGCCATGCGTGGTGCTCCTATACAGCAGAAGTCTTGGAGTGGGTAAATTGAAAGGGGGTTATTCCAGGGCAGTTTTCATGGATACCTTGAACTGAATGTTTTACCACCAAAACAACTTGTTCTATTATTTCTTTTAAGAAGGGATTTTAATACCACCAGAACAAACATGTGCATCACCTCATTTACCAGCTTTGTTTTAATTGTAACATCCTTTTCCAGCTTTTCCCCCTCGAGGTTGTGCTCTAGGATGGAAACTGAAATTGCTTTTTATGATAAACCCTGAAAGTTCATGCAGGAGATGTTCCAGATTTCAGAACAACAGAACAGATGGGCATGATGGCTCTTTGGTTTAGAGCAGGGCATAAGAGAAATGCTCTGCACACAGTCTGATGATGAACGGAAGACATTACAGATGATGGGATGGTTCTTCTGCCAAGGTTGGTACCAATTGTGATAGAAGAACTCACATCCAAATTCACCCCGCATTATTTTCCTGCCTATGCTGTCTTAAAAGTACCTTAGATGTGCAATTTAAAAGAGAATTGGGATGATTTCTGATGTTTCTATTAGCTAAACCTTTCAATGCTCTGCAAATTGCATTTGTGTTTTTGTAGATGTGGTTCTTCTCTCCCTAGGTGTTCGTCCTTTGTTATGTAACAAAGCCTTCCTATGCAAGAAGTGGGAAGTGGAAAAACATAAATATTCATCATTCTTAATGAACCATTTATTTCCGCACGCTTAGTTGAAGGTAAATTTACCAAATATGCATAGCTAAATGAATTAGTCCTAATAAGGTTTAAATCTTGTTCAATTTCTGAGGCTTAGTCAACATTTTCCATACATTTCTCAGCTGAGAGAAAGGGAGGGAGGGTAAAGAGGTGAGGAGGGAGAGACCAAAATGACTCCTGAGGCTGTTGGTGTGAGAACAAAGATCCAACATCGACTGTATAAATAAACATGAGAGCATATGAAAGTGGTAATGATTCTAGTAATATATGGCTTTAATTACTATCACATCGAAAAGAAACTCTCAGCAATGTATTGACTTCTTCTTGAGCTTTATTAAAAAGTGAATTGCAATCCGCAGTGCAGAGCTCGTATTCCTGAGCAATCCTCCCTTTTTAAAAATACAGTGTTGTAAAAACGTATCTATAAAAAGCAGAAAAGATTGGTCCTTCCAGTATGTGAAGTGTGTGGTCACGCACACGTAGAAACTCATCTTTCCTTTTGCACCACGGAATGAGATGTTGGGCAGCCCAGGCACATCTGAGCCTTTATCACAGCAGCACAACCTAAGAAGTGCTGGGGGAAATCCGCTCTCCTCACCTGGAGAGCTTCTTTATCTGGGAGATGTGAGCGGCTGCGTTTCCTCGCTGCCGTGTGCGTGGCCACAGCTCAGTGCAATCCTCCTTTATTGGGGCCTTTTTCAGGTTTTCTGTTCACAGAAGGATTGCTGAGCCACAGAATTATCAGCTCCCAGCTCAGTACTTACAGAGCGTGCAAGGAGAGCACCGAGCAAGCATGGCTCTGGCATTCATCACCAGCACCTAAGAGAAAAGCCAAGCAAAGAATAAACCAAGAAACAACAAAACCCCCACTTCCTCAGCCCTGTGTTCAAGAGATGGATTGTTTCTGAAAGAAGGAAAAAAAAAAATAAGTTACAGCAAAGGAAGCAACAAGGAAACAGCTTTGCGCAACAGGATTTCCTGCCAGGACCTTTGGGTCACAGCCATTAGATGGGGTGGTCCTGGGGCTCCCTGCTCACCGACTGCGGGGTTTCTGCCATTTATGAGGCTGTCCCTTGGGGCTCAGGCTGGCAATTTGTAAATATCTTTCTCATACTCAGGAAATTCACGGCATATTTCAAAAGGCACGCACGGATCTGCAGGAGGAGGAAGGAGCCTGGTGTGTTTTTTTATTGCTTTTATGAAAGTAAATAGCTACCATAGTTTGGGAGACTGGCAGCACATGACCCACAGGCTCACGTCTCTATCTCTGGATCTCTCCATTAACGCCGAGGGCAATTTTCTCTTGGCTGTTCTCACAGCTGAAAGCTTAGCAGAACTCGCCTAGTAAAAGCTATTACCGCTTCGTACAGAGCCTTGCTTTTGTGTTCCCTACAAATTCAACTTCAAGCTGTCATCTCGAATAACAGGGGAAATCCATTGGCTACTTTAAAACTTATATTTTGATTTTAAATGAGTGCAGCTTATGGCAAGAGAGGCTCATAGAAAATGACCAGCTCGCCAGGTCCAGCCACACAACACATGTACCAGCCCATCAGGTAACACGTCTGCGGGCATTGTTTATAAATAATAAATTGTAATTCCAACTGTCTTTCTCCCAGCTTCCACAATATCATTGGCATATCTCCATCTCACCAAGAAAAAAGCATGAAGAAAGAAGAAAAAAAACCCTTGCTAGCATTGGGCTTGCCTATTTATACTGCAGTCCTCCCAAATTAACACCTACTCAGCGGGCAGGGCTCCAGCAGCATGCTAATCAGAGCTCTGATCTGGAATGGGTTTAACTCTATGCTTGCCTTATATTTAGCAAAAGATAGAACAATTTATTTCCTTTTCCCTCCTTCACTTTTATTTAACAGCTAATTCATGTCATTCCATGCCTCCAGTTTTCTGGGTCCAGAAGCAATGTGTCATCCAGCATGAAGGCATCCAAGGCCAGGTTGGATGGGATCCTGGGCAGCTTGATTTAGTGGTTGGCAAACCTGCCCATGGCAGTGAGGTTGGAATGGGTGATCTTTAAGGACCCCTCCAACCTAAGCTGTCCTGTGATGCTATGATCCTTTCAGAGTCCAGAAGCAATGTGCCATTGTTAATGCGTTGATTGTCGGACGGATGGGTTAATGGTCAGACTAGATGATCTTAGCAATCTTTTCCAACCTTAATGATTCTGTGATTCAGTCCTCAAATATAGCAGCATTTAAATTGGATTTAGTTCACAGTAAAGACAAATGAACAAGGGAAATTTAAAAAGTGTTCTATTCATAAAGGTTATACGATAAAAAGTTGATCACCAGACCCAGTCAAAAGCATAAACAAGAAGATGGCACATCAGCATAAAGCAACAAAAATTTAAGGAATTCTTCTGCCTGCTTACAAAAACAGGTTTTAACCCTTCAGTCAATGAGCAGAATGCTTACCATGGTATAATTGTCAGCATTCTGCATTTGGTGTATGAGTGACCTGGAATGCAAGCTCTAATCACAGCTGTGCCCAAGGTTCTTCTGTGCCCAAGGCCATCAGATTCCCAGGTGGACCTCAGCACCTCCTGGACCTTCTGGACCTCGGAACCTTGTGGACCTCATGTTGTGCCACTGTGCCTGATGTGCTCTTGGCACCCTGCTCCATCAATGCCTGGGAACAGGGTGGGGTGAGGCACTGTGTTTACCCAGGGCTTCATAATGCACAGGAAGTCAGCAGAGGAACCAGCAATTTTCCTAACATCCACTCATGGCTGTAAAATCTCTACTCCATAGGCCTGGAGGGTGGTGTTTGTGAGCTCCAGCTTGCTGGAGGCACATCTCGAGCAGTAGCATGCTGCCTCGACGTTGGCTCACTGCGACCTCTTGCAATGGGGTGTACTTAGTTCTCAGGATGAAGTGAGCTCAGTTTTTGTTTCTTGGGGGTGGGTGTTTGGGGGAGAGTGAGTACAGGATCGAAATCTCCAAACCCACGTGCTCATGCAAAAAGGAATTTCCTAAACAAAAGGTGTACGGAGCCATCGTGTTTGATCTCTCTGTTTATACCCCGGATGGCTTTTCTTTTCCTTTCTCCTTTGGTGCAAATACTGCAGGGACAACCAAGACTTTCTGCATGTCGTATAGCTCATTCCTCTGAGCATTACAAAAGTAAAACTACTGTGCTTTCTCTCTGTTACTAATAATAAGACTAAGTAGGATGTTCTGTAGTTTAAAGAAAAACCATGGAGATGACCTGCCTCTTCTGTCAGATCCTTGTCCCTCCTTTCTTAAGCATCGCAGCCAGGCAGTGGGATTCTCATCTTTATGACATGGCAGCCTGTTTCCAGGACTGTAGTTCTCCAGTGCTGTGATAGCACAGCATTGAAACATGAGGGAGGAGGTGAGGAGTACCGATGTCTGTCAGCTGTCGAGAATGCTTAAATCTAAACGATGCAGCAAGTAAAAAGTAAATCACAAACATTTGTCCCAAAAAGTTTTGTTGTAGCTTTCTTTGGTGGCAGAAGGGAGCAAAGAAGCAAGGCTGGAGACACAAGCTCAATCAGCATCCCTGTGCTGAGAGTTCCCATGCATGAAAGGTCCATGGAAGACTTCAAATATATTCACTGACATCTTTCAGAGAGACAGAGCAGTGATGGGAGGAATCTCTGAGGCACGTAGTTCCACTGGTATAATCAGCAACGAGTGTCCACACGACATCCCTGCAAACTGAGTGCTGCCCATGAATTCAGAATCAGGTCTCTGGGGGCTGCTACCTCAATCTAGAACTCAATCTTTCATCCTGCTAACTAGCTGGAGGTTTTCTATGGAGAATACACAGCAATTATATTCCTTTACTTCCTAACTTTAAAAGATGTCATTCTTCTGTTGGAGTGTAGTTTGCTTCGAATGAGAGGCAGGGCATGAGATGTTGAATTTTTCATGGAGCCAAAGGTCTGCTCCTGGAAGCCACAAAGCATCCTCGGTTTCTTCTGAAGTCAGTGTAAGTAGTGCTGTGTAGCACAGGATTAGGCTTGAAGGAAGCGAGTGTAAAAAAAAAAACAATTTGCATTTTCTATGTAAACTAGAGGCAGTATCTGTATTGACAGATGGAAAGCGGTTTGCACTGAGAATACAAATACTGTAATGCACTCTGTGTTTTTGCATGCATAAAGGATTCTGCAATTCCATTCGGTGGAGAGGGACAAATCCTACAATGCTTGTCAGAGTTCCTACTCACACTGCGCTGGGACAAAGCTCCTGTCCAGCTAAAGCACAGGGACATCACACACTGCAGGCAGGAGAGCTGCTATCCCCTTGAAATTTTGGATCCTCATTGATAGAGTGGTGAAGCCAACTTTTGTCCACTGCACATCTGGGGAGATTCTGCCCAGGTTTGGTCTTTCTAGACGCACTATTATGAAACGGCAGCCCTTGTGTTCCACCCGTCCCCAGAGGGAACTTCAACAGACTCTGGGCCCAAGGAGAGAGCTGCAAAGTGCTCAGATGTCCTACTTTGCTAAAATAGGATAATGAATATGTATGTGGAAAATGGTGGCAGTGTATTAAAGGACGTCACTCGTGATGGCCCCTTCCCTTTGGATCACGAACTAAACTGCTGTCTCTCATCGGAGTGCAAAACATAGGAGTGTCTCTGCAGCTCAAATGCATATGTCAGAAAGGATTTGGGGGCAGTCAGGCCTAGAGATGAAACTGTAAATTGAAATTCTACGAAGTCATTAAGAGCACCCTGATGTTCTTTTTATATCTCCATATGCAGGTAATGGTGATAACGTACCTGATGCATCAGAACGGCGTTTTGCCCTTGTGCCAACTTTGCCTTATCTCAGTGGGACTCGGCACACATCTCCACCTCTTCTAATGCATTTACAAATTCATTGAGGGCACGTTTTGCATTCTTGCCCCACCACATTCTTTGGGATCAAAGTACAAATCGCTCTCTTCAGCCCGGGCAAACACAGTTATTTTGTTTACAGCCCTACCAATCAGCCACACACCTGGGAGATGGTGCTACACTCCTCCTATACTCCCTTAAGCAGTTGAATGATTAACTGCATACAGTAGTAAGACAAATAAATACCCAACTGGAAATATCATTGTGAGAACTACACCTATGGATCCTTCTGAGCTACATACTGGCTGTTGCCGATGTGCAAAAAAGCATTCAGCCACCATGTGGAGCTATCAAATCTCCATCAATACTTGAGATACCAAAGGAGTGCAAAGGAAATACAGACCCCATCTCTAAAATACAGATACAAAATGATCACTCTTTAAAAAGGACAGCTGTGATTGCACCCATCATTCTACGTTGGGTGGGTAGGTGGAAGATAACTATTTCTTTCTAGGGTTTTACAGACATCTCACTTCTGCTGTTGCATTATGATTATGGATTATATTTAGGATTATGATAAGGCTCAGAGGGGTGTAATTAAGTTTCTGGGATGGGAAAGGCGACAGTAGGTGGAGTCCTACACCTGTTCAGTGTAGAAGAATAGAGTATCATTGAGGCCAAAGAGCACTAGTGCCCAACCCCAGTGGGGAGTGACAGATTGCCATGTCTGTCGTTCCGTTTGCCTTTCTGAGCCCTATGGAGAAGTTCTATTGACTTCTGAGGTTATACATAGGGGCTGTAGGATTTCATCTTTGGGGTTATCAGCAGAGATCATTGAGGGCATCAGCATTTACCACAGAGGAGCCTGTCCCTCACCACCATCAGCCCCTTTCTTCAGTGGCCTGTTGGGTTCCAGTATGCTGAAACTCAGCTCTGGCATGGTGGGATGTCCCTGATCAATGCATCAGCCATCTGACAGCTTCTCCTGCTCTGATGTGCACCCGCAGCCCAATGCAGGGTGAACCATTTCTTCTGCTGTGTGTGTGCAAGCCTGAGCGCAGCTGCAGTGCGGAAGGGAAGGATCCAGGCAGCAGAGGGCAGGAGGTTTATTACATAAGCAAAAGTCATCAGGGAATCGAGATATCCCCGCAAACACTCTGACATCACACCCCGTTTCCCAAATTCAGCACGTCCCTGTGCAGGGTGGGAAGTGAGTAACCGCAGCACCATGACCTGTGTGGGACAACATGGGAGTGACTCATGGTGCAGCACTGAGAGCACACTGCAGCTTCCCCTCACCTTGTTCCCCCTGGCACCTCTCTTGTCCTGCAGTGGTCCCTCTCCTCTGCTACACAGGGACTGTGGCTGCCTCTAGGCTTGCGACAGCAGCCACAATCCTGGGTTGATCCCTTTCACCTTCTCCAACAGCGTGCTCCCCCTGGCAGCAGGCTGAAACCTGGAGCAGTTCAGCCAGACTTTCCATGCAAACTTCTGTAGAAGGACGCAGACATTTGGGACAGCCACAGACTTCACAGCACGGTATCACGGATCACTAGTGATCCTTAAACCACAGTTTATCCATTGATCCCAGTCACTTACCCCTTTCGAATTAAGGGGTGGAAGAGAGGACCTGACGTTACGTGCAGGGAATGGTTGCTATTCCTGCTATTCGAGAGTGGCCATGAGTGCCTGAATCACACAGCCCCGAGCTGCTGAGCAGTAATGGTCACATGAGGTGTGGGCTATCAGGAAAATTACCACGTTGCCTGTGTGCCTTGTAATGATTATCTAATCGTGGCGCTTTCCTGGTGACTACAGGAAGTGAAGGACGGTGCTAAGGTAGGTGCCAGGTGGATCCAGTGTTTGAGTGTTTGAGTGAGATAAACTATGGGGCAGGTGGTTCCAGAGCTGGGCAACTCAAGAAGGGCACTGCTTATAGAACTCTGATGGTGTTTTCCTATTCCAGCTCCTGTTTAAAGGCTTCTCCCTGTGCTCTGCCATGCTAAGGTGCATGGCTTCCCCCCAGAGATTCTCCCCAATGCGTTACTCAATGCCTTCTGGGCTCCTGTGCACCAGAAGCTTCCCCTACAGATAACATCCCTGATAACCATAGTTACTGGAAGGCTTAGTTACATCCCTAAAGCACCTTGGGACAGCTTGATAGAAGTGGTTATAGAAGAACAAAATATAATTACATTAGAACTATCCCACGGTGAGGTCCTGTCTCACTTATCTGATGATTCACCAAGCTTGTTCCCGACGGGATGGATGACATGCTTTGGAATTCCAATAGCCACAGGTACAACCTGCTGCTGATGAGGCTCCATCAAATGCCTGGCCAGGCAGCTGGCTACATGTGGAGCCAGGGAATCAGTGCTTCTTCAAGCTGTTTACCACTCTGCAGCAATAACTGTAGGAATACTGTAGGATCATAGAGAAAACATCACAGGGATGGGTTTTCAGGCAGGAATAATGCTGCACACCTTGGAGCTGTGTCCTGCAAGGCTGAGCCCAATGATTTCTCAGCCATCATTATTGAGTGGCTTTGATTTATCTAAAGCATCGACAACAACAAGCCGAGGAAACCACCAGAAGCCACACTAAGCAGCCTCTTTTTACCAACCTATGCTATGATTGCTTCTTTTTGCAGCAAGGAGCTTGCAAATCTCTCAAAGGTCACATCCACAACCAGCTGGCTTCCTACACCCCCTGGAAATAGTACACCCTCAGCACTTCACCTGGGATGAGAAGGGCTGGTAAATGGAGGAGAGCCAATAACAGAAAGCTGCAGTACGATCAGTACGATTGGGGTGCTGCATGGGTAGGCCTCTGGCTGTGGCCACAGTGATGCTATGTGACAGGGCACACGGTGTGTCCCAGCCCAGGGAGGGGCTGTGGGGCTGGATTGCTGCATGTCATGCACACAGAGGGTGATGGGAAAGCAAAGGCAGAGAAAATGAGGCTGACACAGGCAGAAGGATAAAGGGCTTAAAGCGGGGTTGGGGCTGCCTTTAGAGCATGAAAGAGCACTGATCATCCTCCTGATGATCAAAGAGGGAATTGCTGTAGCTGCACTGAGTGCATAAGGAGAGATCTTAGCTATATCCAACCCAGAGTGCTGAATGCAAAGCAGCTATGTGCAGCAGTACTGAACATCACTAACCTCGAGCCCAGTTTACCAAAGTGCCTATGCAGGTGACTCAGTGGGCAAGCCCTCCACGAACCTGACACACAGCCCTCCTGCTGCATCCTGCCAGGCAGCCACACACCGTGACAGCAGCAATACAAACAGAGGGGCACCACGAGGGGCTGCGACCCACCTGCTGTGCAGAACCCCTTGCAGATCTGGGAGAGCCCCATCTTAACCTGCTCGCCATTTCTCAACCATTTTTTAAGGGACTCCCAAAATACCTCCCTGAAAATCCAGTCTCACTTTTTTTTTTTTTTTTTTTTTTTTAAGGAACTGAGCCAAGAAAATAATTATTTGCAACAAATGAGAACTAAACCAAACCGGGAAGGTTTTCCCATCCCTCCTTTCCCCATCTGTTTCCTTATCTGCATGCGAATTTAAAATTGTTGGCTTGTTTCTCCGAGCCACAAACCAGTGCCCTTTGAACCACAAAGGCTTTGCACTCTGAACAGCATTTCTCTGTGATAATTACTGCCAAAAGCTGCAAAGAATGAAATTCCTCCTTATGCATCCCTAGCAGTATTATTCCAAAAAAGTCTATAGGAGCTGGAAGCAGAGTTATACAGCGCACTGAAAACAAGATGGCATCGCAAAGAATTATTTTAAAAGGTCCAATCTGGGAAAAAGACTATCAGGACTCAGTGGGAAGAGGAAGGTGTTCCCCCGTATAGAGGAGATGACCGAAGCAACACCTCCTACCCAGTGCCGTCACCTCTTATCAGGGCTTCCCAAGAGCTGGCTGCAGTGGAAGAGTGCTGGGAGGCAATGGGTGACGCATGGCTGTGGGCAGGACGGGCGGAGCAGGGAACTCACCTGCAGCCAGGAAGGTATAAGAGGCTGCGGCGTGCGGCCGCGCGGCCACTGGTGTGGAGCTGCTCAAACAAACCCAAAGGGAGCCTATGCTACAGGAGAAGGTGGGAGATACAGAGCCTAGCTGGAGAGAAGACTCTTTGGGATAGCAAGCAAGAGCCCAGAACATGCTTTTCTCCTTCTACGCTGCTCTTTGAACAGGTATTTATAGCATTTGACCTGCTGTTCGCCTCCTTGATGTCTGCTCCAAGGCACAGCTACTTTGGGAACGGTGCTGTAGAGCTGGCACTGAGCTGCAGGGACTCTCAGGTCTGGTTTTATGGGGTGGGAAGAAGCTTTCTAGAAGTCGTCGGGAAGCAAAAAGTACTTTACTCGGTGGATTTGAGGGAAGCAAAAAGTACTTATCTTAGTAGATTTGAGGCTGGGTGGACGCCTGCCAGTGGGATGGCTGAGCTCAGTTATGGAACGGTTTAGTTGTGGTGCTCCAAAGTTCTGGTTGGCAGTGGTGGAAACAGCTGCACGGGCTGAGGAAGAGTGCTGTGACCACAGAGGTCTGAATTGTTTATGTTAAAATAACCACACGTAGTGAGAGAAATTTGCTACCAAAACAAAAGCAAGGTTGGGCAGTGCAGCGGTAGCATCCAGGAGAAATTTGATGCTGGCTTCCCCACGAAGCAAACCCAACAAGCATCACTATCACCTCGAGCAAAAGGGAAGATGGGGGCACAAAAGCTTGTATGGTCATCTAAAAGTACCCATTGCAAACAAACTTCCTCAAGTTTATTCTCAAGACCCTGCTGCTCTGCTATGGCTGTCTTAGAAAGAAGTACCAAGGGAGCATCTGCCAGCCTCAGTCAGTCTGTTGTTCTGTGATCTTTTTTAGATAGGTTATGGAACAGACATTTGTGGAAGTGTAGGGGAGGGCATCTGCAAAACAGAGGATTTGGTAAAAGCAAAAAGAGAAAAAAAAAAAACCACCAAAAAACACCAAAAAGAAAACAACAGAGTGAGGGCTTTCCTGTGTCTTTGTGCCAGCCGGATTTGGATCTGTAGTTCTGTAATTCATCAGCATCTGCCAGATAGTGCTAAAATATGCAGGCTGAGCTGCAGCCAGGGAAAGAGACAGACAACAAATATTACAACTTGCTGAAAAGCTCAGATAAAAAAGTGCAGACTAAAGATTAACTCGAGGAGAGGCTCCGGTGAGCATGAGAGAAGCAATAAAGGAAGTATTTAAGCCAACACTTTGCATCGACGGCAAAGTTTCCTCCCATAGGTGCAGCCCGGGAGCTTAAGATTGCTTTTGGTTATGGCAATCAAAAGCTAACCATGATGGGAGATTATGTTCATGCATCATGGAGATATTTCTGTGCAACGTTAGGAATAGGCAGATCTTTCCCATCCCTTACATCAGCCTTCTTGCTAAGACACAGAGTCTGCAGCCCGCGTTGCTGAGCCACTGCAGGACACAGACTGCAGGCCTATAATTACCATTTCTGACTTGTCACTGGTAAATCTCCCAGCACAAAGAATCAAGCCCAGCCAGTTCAGTGATACGCCCTCAAAAAATGTTCCCCAGGCACACAGCAGTGTGGCCGATGCTGAGAACTTCCTCCAGCCAAACACTTGCTTTCAGGGATAAGCACTCTGTATCTAGAAAGCCATACACCTGGTATCAGAATGTGCTCAGAGCTGCGTTTCCAGCTCCAGATAACTGGAATTCAAGGTAATACCCAGATTGCTGGAAGGCTGGAGGAACTCGGTTGTAAATCAATTTGCTGGAGCTGCCGTATCAGCCGCTCAGCTCAGGGCTCTGCTTGCACACAGAGAGAAAGCAGAAAGCAGATGGCAGCACACAGCAAGGCTTGGGCTGCGCTGGCGCTCCTCCAGTGCTGAGAATAGGGAAGAGCTGCACTTTCCTGGGGAAAGCAGAGCAATAAGGAAACACTGGCGAATTCCCCCTTGTTCTGGCACAAAAGCCATTTCCTCCAACAATTCGTTTCTTGCTGTGTCACGGTGACAAGATAGAACAAACGTAGTGAGATAACAGTGTTTCCTCACTCCCTCGGTCCCGCTGCCGCATGGAAGCATTCAGATCCCATTGTGCACCCACAGCCCCATTGGTGCCACCTGGCAGCCCCAGTGCACAGAGCACCCCGAAGAGCTTCACCCTGCTGCTGCTCCACCACTGAACACTGTTATCTGTCTCTTAGGCCTCACCATAGTATCTGAGTACCTCCCAGCCCAATAGGCTGCTATAGGGAGGTCCCTGCTTGACCCCATGGAATCCTCTGCTCTGCTCCCTGCTCAGGTATTGGGCAGCACCACCCAGGGTAGGTCCTTTATGTTTTCTCTGCCCAGAGCGAGGTTTGTGGAAAGGCTGCAGCCATCTTTAGTGCCAGGGTGACTGTGGTGGAAAGGCTTTGGCTGGATGGCGGATCTCTGGATGGTGGATTTCTGGTGGCTGCTTGCTTTGCAGGTTGGTTATCTTCATCTTCATCATGCAGCTTCGAACAGGCAGCTCTAGCAGTGGTTTTCCAGCCTCTGGAGGCATCGCAAGCCACGAGCTTGCTCTTCAGTCCTCCTGTGGGGTTAAAGATAGGTCTGGTGATGGGTATCTTCGCACTGTTAAAAGCTAAAGCCGTGGTTGTCCTTCTCTTGCAGAGTCTCCCAGGGCTCTATTCATCTCCTCGAGCTCCGTCATGTCGTGCTTCACCCAGCTATGGCACTCCAGCACACCGGACTCTCCCACCAGCCCGGTCCCTGCATCTCCACATGAAATCCCCATTCCCATCAGCCCTATTGTTATCACCTCCCCGGTGGACAGCAAGAGGAAAGCAAGGTCCCCGACCGACAAACCAGGCTCTCCAAACCCAACATCCCCAAAGCCAGCCTCCCCCGTTGAATGCTCCATCTGCTTCAACACATACGACAACACCTTTAAGACCCCCAAACTGCTCCAATGCTCGCATGTTTTCTGCCTGGAGTGCGTGGCCCGCCTGAGCAAAGGGCTGCCCCCCAACCACCCCGAGGACCAGCTCCCCTGCCCCTTCTGCAGGCAGTTGACCAGCATCCCGCTGGAAGGTGCCCCAGCCCTGGAGACCAGCAAGGAGCTGCTGGCCACTCTGCCCCCCGAGCTCCAGCAGGAGAAAGTGCTCTGGATGGAAGGCACCAAGCTGTGCTGCCGGCAGGCCTCTGATGACCCCGAGAACCCAGACTCGTGCATCTCCATCGACGTTGCCATGAGCAAACCCGAAAGCCCAGAGGTCCCTCCGACGGGGCTGGCAGGGAGGCTGTCCCGCTGTGACATGTGTGACGACTGGAAGCGCATCGTCCTGCTCTCTGCTCTCATCATCATCCTCTTCTGCATTATCCTATGGCCGGTGCAATGCGCGCTGAAGACAGGGAACCTCCGCTGCTTCACGAGGACTGTTGCAATGAGCAGGCCAGAATATCTCCCCTCGAAACACACCACAGCAGCCACGCCTGTGACACAGCTCCCATTCCTGTAGCACGAGGCATAAGATGGCACACCCCCCAGGAGCATCCCTCGGTGTGCTTGCAGACCCCACGCTCCCCACTCCCGTTCTGTGCCCACACTCGGATGCACGCACTCACCTCCAGCAGCCCACAAATGCTCCCTCATGAGGAGCTGCCTCAGTTTCCTGCTGCCAAACTCCACGGAAACCTGAGCCTTCAAAGCTGCTGCAAAGGTGTGATGGGTGACAGATGAGCTTCTAGGACTGTTTGCCCACAGGCTGATACCAGGTGACAGTGGGTGTAGCTCCTTCCAGCTCCTTTGGGGAATAAAGGGCTATCTTCATGGTTATTTCTAAGAGGAGCTGGGCTTGGAAGGGTAAGGACATGTCGAAGCTGCAGAAGCAGATGAAAATTAACCTTATTCCACATGCTCAAAACATTTCCGTTGTGGATTCAGCACACGAGGTGTGAAATGCTGCCTCCTGCTGACAACACATCGATCCATCCCTGCTCCTCACCTGAGCTGAGCACTGCTGAATTTCCAACAGAAAATAAAAGCCATCCTATTGCCGTTTTGTTTTTCTCTCTAAGAAAGTGCTTAAAAAAGAGTAATCACTCATCCTTAACCTGGAAAGGAGAGCAAACTCGCCCTGAGCACAGCATCACACTGTCCTCCGTGAGCTTCCTTCCCACTGCTCCCCGGCCAACTGCTGCTGAAGTGGCAGAAGTTGCACCTTCTGACAGCTCTACCCTCCTTCTGACAGCTCTACCCTCCTCATCTTCCAAGGTGTCAGTATTAAGACACAGGCCAGTTGCTTACACTCTCTTTTTATTTAACCCAGTGATCTTCTGACAGTGGTTAACAATGGTCTTCATGAAGAAGGCGGCTTACAATTGAATCTTGTTTATTCAAGCACATGGATGTGAGACAGGATTGTACACAAGTACCATGGATGTATTAAATTATGTTTTATACAATGCAAGGTGTCGGTGTGTAACATTTACTCCCCGTTTCCCCCCCTTACCGGATGCAGCAGCAGCACAGCTGTTCTCTTTATCCTCCACCTTCATACTTACTGCCATCCCAGTGATGCTGTCCCAGGCAAAACCACCCTTGAAAAAGGAGAAGCTGCAAAGACTGCTCATCTTTTGCTTCCTCCCAGCTGGATCAAAGATGTTTTCAGTCTCTCTTTGCAGCAAATCTGATCTGAAATACAAAAGGCTGAAGCAGCAGCAGAAGTACCCCAAGTCCGTTGCTATGCAAAACTTCTGTAAAGCTGCTGAGTGCTTTCTGTATCTGCACCACCTTTGTTGTTTAGCTGCAGGCTGCTATTATCTGTGCCAGCCACACGGCTGCAGAAATTGGTCCAGGCACTGCAACAACTTCTGCCAAAGGCCCTGGGCTCGACAGGGATTCTCCCTTGCATCATCCCACCCGCTTGCTGCTGGAAGGATATCTTCAGAGCACCAGCTTAAGTGCGTTCTTGGAAAAAGTGGCTCACTGAGACTTAGGGCAGAGAAGGCACTTTCACTGTAAAAGGAGCATTTGAGATGAAGCCCAGCAAACTGGCATTAGCAGTGATGAAGTGTTCTGTCACGTGCAACTACTGCTCAATCCCACTGATGAGATCTAAGGACAGGGGGGAGGGAAACAGCATCCTCAGCCTCATCACACCCATTGTTATGGGTGGTAAACAGTGAGCACAGAGATCTCACAGCTCACAGGTGTTGAGGAGTTGAGGAGGCTCCTTGTCCACAATGATTGTCAGTCAATTTCCCAAACCACTTAAAAAGAGGGGGGGGGTAAAAGAATAAGAAAAGCTTTGAGAATATTCAACATTTATTAAAAGTGCAATAAAAATAAAACAGTTTTCCTGTCCTGTAAGAAGGGACCAGGAAGACCAGTCAGGAAATACAGCCAAGGGATGCCATCGTGCTTTCATTCAGCCCCTCCTGCTCATTGCTGGCTCTTGGGCACCAAGGTCCCTGACCAGGCAGAGGGGCAGTGACCCAGGAGCACATCAGCACCCTGCATGCTCCAGAAGTCAACACTGGCACTCTGACCCCAATGAATCCTGCAAAAAGGGGGGGGGTTCTATTTGCAGACCGAAGGGCTGGAACAGCAGGAAGCCCCAGCAGTCACAAGTCAAGATTCACCAACAGAGCTGGAACACTCCACTCAGTAACACACTCATCTTCATGGCACTGGTCAAAATAAGTGCTCCTACAGCACCCAACCCAGCACACACAGCACTTGTCATATAGTTGTGGGGGGAAGGAGAGGTCATACAGCAAGGAAACAGCAGAGCTGCATCAAGCTTAGAGGTACCCAGCTCTACAAGTTCAGCTCAGCCCAGCATCCTAGGGTGTGTTATTCACCCAGGAGGGCTAAAAGCACAGTGCACAGTCAAAGCTGCTTTCCTGCTCGTCAGCACACTCCAGCTAGATGGGCTTTCAGGGCTCAATGCTCACACCAAAGTGAGGATGCTCACCCCTGCAGCCTTGCCATGATGCTCACGCAGCTCCAAGCACACACACACACTCACCTGCTGTACAGCAGGGTTGCATAGAAAGCTATAGCTGCAACAGCCAGAAGTGTGAGGAGAAGAATCAACAGAGGCACAGATACCTGGGTTCCAGGCAGTGCTACTTCCCACCTTCAAGGTAGCAAAGTTAGCCTGGAAATTAGCCTAGAAGCAAACACTTCTAGCTCGGAAATGATTGACCTAATGAATATATTGAAGTGCACTAATACTTGATTAATGCCCTAAGTGGGCAACCCTGGGAAAGCTCCTAAGCAAATAGGCATTTCCATTCTTAACAATTTACATGTAAAAAATAACAATCTTAAATTAAAAAAAAACAAAAACAAACAAAAAAAACCACCAACAATTAAAACAGCTTCGATGCCCAACGAATGTCCAGAGGCACTTCCACATAAATATCAACCTACTGATACAGGGGAGACCAGGAGAAGGTCCTTCTCAAGAATAAGTTAGCTCAAGGCATGTTCTTAAGGCTCTGCTTGCTTCTTAGCTCCTCGCTGAATCCAAGGTGCTCGGGGAAGGCAAAATGGGCAAAAAAGCACTGTCCGCAGATGCAGCATGTGAAAAGGGTGGACGTAAACACTGTAAGTCCTGCAGTCCTAAGCAAGAAGGAAGAAAGGGCACGGCTTACAACTGGGAGAAAAATGCACTGATGTGACATAGAGGTACTCCCAGCATTCAACATCTCTCCTTGTTTATGTAGTTTCTCCCCTGCAGCACCGGGCATGATTTAAAACAACCATGATCCCATTACCACATTTCTCCCTGTTCTGCCACACAGCCACGTCTTTAAGCTCCGTCCCATTTCATTAAAGCCTATTTGGCTTCCCTGATGCAAGCAGAGCCACGGAGATCTGCATGCACTGAAGCACACAGGATAAATGCAACATAAACACAGTGGTGACACGCAGCCTAACCGAAGGAAGCATTCCTACCTGCACAGCCTCACCTTCAGCTCCTCTATCGCCCCGTGTTACTCATCCCTGAAACCTTTGGGCTTTTGATGTTGAGGTTCTCATAGACGGAAGCTGACTCATCATCAGCCCTGTCAAGAAACAAAGCCTTGTTGTGAACTGCCTCGCTGCTCTGGATGTGTTCCCAGAGGCAGGTGGCCGGTCGGAAGCAGGCAGTGGCCTGGCCAAGTTCCCTTTACTCCTCCCCATAGCCTGTGGGGCTCAAGATACCACAGGTCAGGATCTATTTGCCCTTCCCACAAGAGGAAGGTGGGCTGCCATCACAGTGCTGGCAGCGTGGTGGGATCACCTGCTCATTTTGAGCCATTCCCATCCGACAGCCAGGAACTGGTGAGGTTTTAGGAATGGGAGAGGGAGGATAAGTGCTGGGGACCAGACTACAGCCGTTCTCCTGCTGCTACAGAAAGTCCTCTTCCCAGCAGACAGACTTACACAGGCTGGGCTCGTGGTGAAGGGGGCTGCCCTTTGGCTCTGCCTTTTTCCACAGGAGGGTATCCAATATTCAAGTAGTCTCGCTCTTTCCTTTTACTTCTCTGAAATAGGAACCAAATACATTAAAATCCTACTCAGGGCTGATGCAGAAGGAAGCCTCGCAGGATCCCATATGCCAGCAGGGAGGAGTGGCTGTGGGTTTATTCCCATACGTTCAGGGCAGCATTGGGGTTCCAGAATAAAGGAAGTGGTTGCGGTGCCTGGTGTGGGGCAAAATGTGCCCTTTATCCTCCAACCAAGCTGAACAGGACTCACCTGCTCTTCCTCCAGCCTCTTCTGCTCTGCTTCAATGAACTGCTGGACAGCCATGTAAACGAATTTGTACTGGGCCTCTGTCTGCACCATGCCAGAGCGCTGCCTGCGTACCATCTGGATCGTTTTGGGGATGTCAATGTCGCAGTCCAAACCTGCTCAAGAGCCAGAAAGTGGGAAGTGGCAATGAGGTTGAGAAATTATTCTTGCTTATCACTCCTCCTGCGGCTTAAGAAATAAACACAACCACTGCTGAAAAAGGTCCTCCTGCCTAAATGCTCCCACTAAGAGAACTGAGGGTCCAGACATGCTACAAAAGTCACTCTCATCCCAGCTTTAGGATCAAGCCTGAACCCAGAATGAGACAAACCCACTGCTGGGAGATCATGGACCACTGCTTGCACCTGAGCAGGCTTATTCCATAACAAGGCAAACAGTGAGAGTCACAAGACTGACATGGAGACATACCTTGCCTGTGAATAATATCCACCAGAATGTCTATCACTATGATGGTGCCTGTGCGTCCTATTCCAGCACTGGAGAAAGAGAAGGAAGGCTATATTTCCCTATGTGCATACCTGTATCACCTCTGTTTCCCAAATGCCCACCACCAGACCGTGTGATGGGCCGGTTATAGGTAACAAAGGGAAGAGACTCCCTTTTTGTTCCCCATCCCCATGACAGAGCTGGTTCCTACCTGCAGTGCACTATGATCGGCCCCGTGTCTGGAATGCTTCGCTGTGTCCGGTTCACTTGGTCCAGAAAGCTGAGAACCCCTCCTGGTTCATTGGGCACCCCGTGGTCTGGCCAGCTGAAATACTGGTAGTGCTTCACCACCCTGGGACGCTCATCCTGTGTGGAGCAGAGACCCAGCAACCATCAGAAGGAGCACCAGGCTTCCCCTTCATATATTAAACCATTAAGGTTGGAAAAGACCACTAAGACCAAGTCCAACTCCCAACCCATCACCAAACGTACCACATCCCTCAATGCTACCACATCTCCATTCCTTTCCCATCAACAAAACTGGAGCAAAACAGCCCAGAACTTCAGCAATGGGACCATTAGGTAAAAACCAAGAGATGCTCCAGATCCCATCCCCAGGGCTGCAGAACCACGGTGAGCTCACCCTGTCCACGTGCCGGATCTCCAGCTCCCGGAGGTAGTAGCCCTGCGCCTCGCGCTCGCTGATGTTTCGCACACAGATGCAGCCATACTCCTTGGCACAGCCCTTGTCTGGCCAGTAGCGGAAACACTTGTTCTGTAGCGACACAGGAGAGCTGCTGGTGAGCCAAGAGAGGGGAGGTGGGGGACGGACCCCAGATGTATCACCCAGGGATGCTCGGTGGTCAAAGGATGAGCAGCAACAGTGCAAAAAATTTAAGGAGAACCACACATGCAGAGCATTCCCTTGAGCTGGGGCTTGGATAGGTTCTGCAATTACTTTCCTGCCTCCCA